TTAGCAGAGGAAGCAAGACTAGCGGAAGAGGCCAGATTAGCTGAAGAAGCAAGGCTGGCTGAGGAAGCGCGATTAGCTGAGGAGGCAAGACTAGAAGAGGAACGTTTAGCTGAACAAAGAAGACAAGAAGAGCTGGCAAGATTAGAAGAATTAGAAAGACAGGCACAAGAGGAACGTGAAGCAGAATTAGCAAGACAGGTTGGTTCTGACTTTATTTTTATTTTTTTTATAGTTATTTAATATTTTGCATAGACAGCAGTGCCGGACATCATGCCTTTTTAGTAATATATCAGCATAATACATTTTTAGTAAGAATTGCCAATGTGACAATTGACAATTCTCACAAAAAATGGATCAGAATCTTTTTGACAACTTAAAATAATAAAAACTGAGGTTACCAACGGGGCTGCCAAGCGTGACAACTATGGCTAATATCTCCCCTATGAGGTACATAATCTGTGGATAATCGCTGCCTATGTTCAACAGTGAATTTTTATAGGCTGTAATTAATAAAATTTATATTTAATTTTTACACAGGCTGCTGAATTAGCTGAAATTGCACGTCAAGAATCAGAACTAGCTGCGCAACGTCTTGAAGAACTATCCCACAGCGGCTCCGCTGGTGACAACGTTGAAACTAGGTATCATCAAAATAAAATCTTACGTTGATATTGATAACATTGTCAGTAATCTCAAATTAAGTATCTCGCCCTATAAATCAGAACACAGAGTGAATATAGGCAGGGACTTCTCTTTCCTTCTATTTTAAACTGATGACACAATTTCCCGCACCATTTCATTAGTTGATAGGACAGCTTTTCTGCCTCGGAGTCCGTTTGAATAGGTACTGCCTTCCCTCCCTTTTCCTGCCGCCAAATAGCAGTGCTTGTATTGCGGTGTTCCGGTCTGCGTAGCTTAAGACCAAATACTCAAACGCTACTCAATTTTAAAATGTCGTAAGTCTCATGGTGTCACAGTCACTTTGACTTGAAATAATAGAGACAGCACGAGACTTAACGTCATCTTAAAATTTAGCAACGGTTGAGTATTTGGGAAACACAGAGCCAGTGTAATTACAGCCTGGCTTCTCAAGGGTGTCAACGCATATGTACCCTTCTTCTTTGCATAAATTAGCATCTCACATTCAGGTGGACTGTAAGTTCATTTATCACTTCAGTTTTATAATAAAACGTAGCCTTCTTACGACACCCAGTAATGGTGTGATCGATTCTGTTACGTCATCATTACAACTACGCGATAAATGCCAGGAAGACATGCGAGTGCTATATAATATACGGTATAATCATCTCGTTAACACCAGACGCAAAATATCCAAACAACCGGCTACGGGACGCAGCAGTTAAAGGTGCAAGACATCTGAAACTTTCATCGCCAGTCAAGACTAAGCATGCAGATTAAGGCAAATCCTTTTGTACGTGGAAGAGCCATATTAATAGCATAGTTGTAGCACGAATGGGTCGGCTCGACCGGGGAAGGACTACGCTCTCACAGAATACCAGCGTAAAATAGCAGCTTAATACTGCTGTGTTTCATATGGTGAGTGTAGGGAACCGGAGACCCTTTTTACTGGAAAAGAGGCATTCCATCTTAGTCCTCACGGGTGACAACGCAATCTACATTTTGATTCTTTATTGAGGATAGATGTAGATGTCTATGGGTCACAGCAACCACTTACCATCTGGTGGACTGTGTGTTCGTTTGTCAACCTATTCTATAAAAAAAATCCTCCCTAGAGCTGAAGTGGTCCACGCCCAGCGGGGTGTGTGCACGACGGATAAAGAAAATAAAAGATATTCGATTTATTACGACATGGCCTAGTGATGAAGTTAGGTACCTGAATAACAAGCCCCGGGTTCAGTGTTCAAACTTTTTTTTTTTTATAGGACAAGGGTGACAAACGAGCACACAGTCCACCTGATGGTAAGTGGTTTCTGCGGCCCATAGACATCTACATACATCCTCTCTTACAAGTCAAAATGTAGATGCGTTGTCACCCGTGAGGACTAAGATGGAATGCCTCATTTCCAGTAAAAAGGGCCTCCGGCCACCTGCACTCACCAAGCGAAACGCAGAGGTAAACCTCTACTTCACGCTGGTTTTCTGTGAGGTCGTGGTACCACCCCGGTTCGAGCCGGCCCATCCGTGCGACAGCAAAAGCTGCCGCGTGGCTCTACCACTGTTAGTCAAGTCAAAGTTCAAATTAAACACAAAATTTCTTTAGCTAAGTACCCAGTATCGACGTTTTATTATGGCCAGTGGGCCCTTAGCCCAGATAAGCATGCTTCATCCATGGGTACCGACAATAATAATGTTTATCTGTCAGATCAGTTTTGAAGATGGTAAGGCAGTGTGCGTGTCAGTTTATCAGTAAGAAAATTATTTTATTATATATATATATATAAACTAACTGATACCCGCGACTTCGTCGGCGTTGCTTGCACCCATCACTGAACACGTAGTGCTTATAAAAGTAGTTATTTCTTAAAACTTTAACAACTTTATATTTAATGAAGATATCGCAATATTTTTTTAGATAAGGGCCAAGTGTCCAAGAAATAAAACTTAGAAAACCTAATTGAAATCTATGCAGTAGTTTTTCCGCAACTACAAGCCTCTATCATTTTATTTATATAGATTAATTAAAGACAATCAATGGAACTAATTTATGCAAAAACACAAAGTGTACTGGTTTGGTTGTAATTGTTCCCTTTCCTCTGACACTGACTTTAAGCCTACTTTTGGTCTATTAGTGTTAATATCAGAACCTGAGATAAGGGGTGTTTAAATAGTTAAATTAAAATTTATGAGCGTGTATCTATACCAGCACCTACCAGACGAAGCATTGTTTACATTATTTGTATTTCACAGCGACGTGCCTGAGGTAGAATCTCAGCCCATTGTTGAGGAACCGGAAAGCCCAGAAGTGGTCCCTGATGCCTCAGGAGTTGCGGACCAGAATGACGCTGTTGCAGAAATCAGTGAAGATGAGCAAGCAGAGCCAGATGTTACGGACGAAGAATAATTTTTAAATTACATTTATTTTTAAATGTATTTAGACAAAAGTACGTTACGAAATATAGGATAATAAGTATGCTGAAATAAAGAAAGCCAAAGTTATTTCAGGTTTAAATTCAAAGTCAGTATAAACTTAATTCACTAAGAAAAAAAACGTTCCCCATAAGAAATTTTTAATAACCATGTCAAATAAAGAAGGGGTAGGAAATAAAGAACATAGATATTGTTCTAAAAGCATTTTCTTTTTTATGTGTTTTGTAATTAATTTATTAACTATTAATGGCTCATGTATTAAATGTAAACATACATGAACGATGTAATAGTAAATTTGTTGTGAATTAGTCTTTGTTACTCTTTCCTGTCCGTAATTAAATTACGCGTCAACGAGAGACCAAGTCAATAACAGAATATTATGTTATCATCGTTAACAAATTTGTTTATGTTTTATTTTGTATTATTAAATTTTTATAAAATGTTTTGTTATGTTTAACAATAAAAGACATTAACGCATTAGGTTTTTTTATTACAAGAGGATCTTCAAAAATACTTTTGAAGAGGTGTGTTACGCGCTTTAAAATTGAATTTTAAAAAAGATAAAAAAACATGACAAGTGGTGGAAGTATATTTGAATCCATTGCCCTATTTAATCCCGTGCGCATCGTGAGAGGCGACTATGAGAAATGAAAGAATATCTTGAAATGAAATATGGCTAATAATAGTACAAGTATAACCATCTCGTATATAAAATCAGATGTAAAATGCCTAGACCAGCGACAGACAACAGGGTCAAAGAAGCTCAGGTCACGCCTACTACTGCAACCATTATTCGGCTTGCCAAGCGTGAAGTAAAATCCTTTATACACGTGAAACGACCATCTCTAGCAGTGGATTTTACAGACCAATTATTATGAAGAATGAAGAAGAGAAAAATATTCATTTTTAAAATCAATAAACGGTAGATAGACTTATGGTGGTCTTCACTTGTCACATAATATAACCTACAAGCTTGATTTACGTTTAAACAAGCAAATTCGAACGTGTGGACCAATAAGACTTGAGCTTTACTGTGCGACGTGCGCCGTTGTGCACGTGCATCATTTTTACTTCATGTACGTACTTTAAAATCGAACATTTTGCGGCGTGTACCTGCTAGAAATAGTGTTCTGTGTGCCTTTGAGTCGAGTGGAACTTAGGATTTAATCAATCAAATCAAATCAAATCTTTTTATTTTCAGACAACATAGGTCCATAAGGGTTAGTAATTAATTCCAATAGTAAGGGGGTTAGTAGTACTATATTATAATAATAATTTAATTTAAATAAGTTACGAATCCGGACATTGTCCGCACATAGCTCCTTAATATAGGTGCATGTGTATCATCTGCTACCATCCACAGGATGCTGTTGTCACTTCCCCGTACGCAGCTTATTAGTGACGCCACTTTCTTGCGCATGAGTGCCTGAAAACCATCCGTTCTCGCCTGCGCAAACATTTCAGATGCACTACAGAAACGAGGCAGTTTCAACATCATCCTGAAGATATTATTATACTGGACGCGAAGGGTGTTTAACGATCCTTTGGTGTAGCTGATCCACAGACCGCTCGTGTACATGTTTTGACAAAATGCTTTAAAAAGCGTAATCTTGACTTCATCCGTACAACGAGCGAATCTACGGACCAGCATGTTACTACGGACCGCCAAAGCCCTACGCTCTCGTTCTATGTCTAAATCGTCTCTAAGGTCGTCTGTAAGTATGTGGCCCAGTTACTTAAATTGGAAAACTCTGTTCAGCTCCACTCCACCAAGGCAAATTGGAGGTATAAATTCGGGACACTTACCGGCTGCCTTAAAGACCATAAATTCGGTTTTTCTGGCATTGTAGGCCAGACCATGCGACTTAGCATAGCTCTCACATACGTTTCTCTGATAGCACTCGTAACAACTCGTTTCTCTGATAGTACTCTCACAACATTTCTCTGATAGCACTCGTAGTGGGGCCCAGCAGCACCATGTCATCCGCGTAACTAATATTGTTTACATTAACACCACTCACTTTGCATCCGACTCGCATGCTGCTGAGCTCCACTATGAGGTCATTTACGTACAGGTTGAACAGCTTTGGAGACGACAGCCCACCTTGCCTTACTCCGCACTCCAACCTGTACGAACTGGAGAATTGGTCAGCCCATTTAACGTAATTTACTTGCTTTGTGTACCAATACCGAAAGAGATTTAGCACCTCCACCGGAACACCCCTGTCCTCCATCTTCCTCCAAAGCACATCATACGAAACCAGATCAAATGCCTTGGAGAGATCTAGAAAGCAGGCGTACACCGGCGTCCTCCGGCTTGTATAATATTGGACAGTGTGCTTTAGGCTTAGTATTACGCTTTCAGTGGATAGTCCGGGCCTAAACCCGAACTGCGCATCATTTAACTTCAGATACTTTTGCAAGCATGAATCAAGCAGACTGTCCAATACTTTGGCTACCGTGGTAGCAAGAGAAATAGGGCGGTATTGCCCTTATCCGAGATATCACCTACCCTGTTTTGGACAATGGGCACCACAATGGTTTTCATTAGATCCGGTAGTAGATATGAATGTCCAATGCACATATTGAACAATAGAGACAGGACCCTTGGCAGGTGTACACCCGCATGTTTTAGGTGCTCGATACTGAGCCCGTCGTGTCCGGGAGATTTGCCCCTGCCCATCCGCTTGATTACATCTCTGACTTGACTAGCCGTAAACAATAGCGTAGACTCATCCACCCGCACGCCAGGCTCAGGACCAGGCATCCCCGTGGAGGGGCCCAGCGGCGATCGTACCCTGAAATGTTCCATGAACAGGTTTACAATTCCCTCCGGGTTACTAATCCCATCTACTCTGGCCGGCAGGCCAGGCTTAATCTTCAGTTTACTAGTGGACATTTAAGCAGAGCTGAACATGGCAGTTGTCAGTAAAGTAGATCCGAATAATCCGAAAGCACTAGCGCATGTGCACTATAAATACAGAGTATACTATACTACATAATTATAAAGGAGAACTATATACCCCTAGCTAGAATAAGTATTATTGATATCCAAAACTCATATGAAAGTACTTATAACAAAAAAACAATTTATAAAATTTTTGTCTGTCTGTCTGTTTGTTCCGGCTAATCTCAGAAATCAATGGACCAATTTAGACAGGACTTTCACTGGCAGATAGCTAATGTTATAAGGAGTAACTTAGGTTACTTTTATTATAGAAAAAGAATTAGAGTTCGGCCCAAAAAATTAAAACCCATAAAATTCAATCGTAATAAATTCCACGCGGACGAAGTCGTGGGGAACAGTTAGTATTATATAAACATGTAGACTATTATGATTGATCCTAACGCAGAAACATTTTTTTACGTTACAGTGTTTACAGTTTCTGCATTACAAACTGTAAACACTGTAACTCAATAATTTAAAATTTTGTACAGCCGACTTCAATATAAGTTATTAAGAATAACTCAAAAACTATTGGTCTGACCTTGATCAAATTCATATGGGACCACACGAGAAGTACCAGCTTTCAAATAAAAAAAAGAATCATCGAAATCGGTTCACCCAGTAAAAAGTTATGAGGTAACACACATAAAAAAGAACATACAGTCGAATTGAGTACCGTCTCCTTTTTGGAAGTCGGCAGAAAACCGTCGTGAGCCGCCGCGTTCGGTAACATGCAAACGATTTATTTTTTAGTAAGCAGCGTTGTCACAGCGCTAAATCCACGTTCACACAAATATGACGATGGGAATGCTATCAAAACTCGTTGAACGATCGACCACAATGCTGGATACAACTGCGGGATTGACTTTTGTATGATGATGTTGATGCGGTCTGCTGAGCACGCCAAGCTTTTTAGAGGCCAATTTGGCCTTCTCTTCCAAGTGACCACGAAACTGAACGTCACTAGATATATCGACACCGAGGATACCGATACTGGCTGAGGCAACAAGGGGAGTGCCTTGAAACTGAGGAGATTAGACAAAGGGATTCTTTTTAGCGGTAAACGCGCAAACTTGTGTCTTCTGGGGATTGAACTGAACTAGATTTAGTCGCCCCCAGTCTGAGACTTTGTTCAACAAAGTCTCGACTTCAGACACAAGTTTGTTCCGGTACTCGGCGACGTTTTCCCGAGAAATATTGGCACGGCCGGTGTATAAAGCATCACCAGTGCTATCGCCCGCATAGCAATGAATGTTACTGGTTTGCAACATATCATTGATATGCAGAAGAAACAGCGTTGGTGATAGCACGCAGCCTTGTGGAACACCAGCGTTAATGGGCTTGTAATCGGAGCATGCACCGTCACTCACTTTTTTTATCTTTAATAAACCTCACGTAAGACAGCAACTCCGCCATATGTACAACTTTGTGCATGAAAGATTAAACAAATAAATAAAAAAAAATGATTCATTAGTTGGTAAAGTGGACTTATCCAAGTGAATTGAAAATTGACTAGTCTTCAGATGATTGCACAATGACTTTCAATGTTTTCAGCCATTTCATCAATTCGTCTTTGCACAGAAGTATTGCTCAAAGGAATTTTTGGAATTATGTCTGCCGCCGGTTTATGGAGCGCAGTAGTTATAACTTCTTTTATTGCCGGCAAAATTAACGTTGCTCCGATGGTGTGTGGTTTACCTATTTGAGCAATTAACAAGAGATATTGTATAAAGCTCGAAGTTCGTCATCGTCTTGCTTAGCAGCCACCGAAAAAAGTTTTGATACACTTGGCTGAGCATTATGCTTCTTTTCCAGGTGTTGAAAATAGGCTACTTTTTTGTCCTTCTTATCTGGATGCATTTTATTCAAATGATCTTGAAGTCTTGAAAGCTTCATCGCTTCGTTTGAAAATGTTTTTGAACAAAGAAGGCACAAAGGCAAAGATGAATTTGTCGAATTTTCTATGAATCCATATTTAATATATTCTGCGCTATATTGCCATCTCTTCTTTTTTGCTTCCGACATGGCTTTGTTTTTACAAATATACAAATAAACTGTTGAACTTAAATACTTGTTTAAAGATTGCGCGCGAAACCACTAATGAAAATATAAAAATTATTACGAGCTTTTATATAGGATTTAAATACAGCACGCACCGACAGGAATAAGACAAACACGCACAAACTCGTTTATCTCTTTCGACGCTCAATCATACTGAGCAAGTTATGACAAGTATCGATGAACCAGCCGATTAATACTGGATTGCACCTAGGGTTGCCAGATGGTCGGGATTCGTCTGGATTCTCCCGACATTTTGAATAATCTCCAGACTCCCGACAAAACTCAAAATCTCCAGACAAACGGCTTCTCTGAAAGTTCTATACAAAATAATAATTTAAAATTGCCACGCGCGGTCACATTCTTATTCGTCATGTCCCGACAAGATGACTGTCTCTTTTGCCCACTTTAGATCATTTACTGTATTGTTAGTCTGTTGTAAAGCAGTATTTTATGTTGAATGGGGAAGACCGAATGTCGAAAAGAGATATTTATGTGGGAGTTTGTAACAAAAAGTAAAAGCCATATTGATAATAATAGTGAACGGGTTGACGAATACAAACAGGAAGGGGATTTCAGAAGCGTATTTATACTTTGTAATTTTTAACGTAATGTTGTAGTTCCAAGTAGCAATTTTAACATTGGGAAGTGCTCCATGCACTGTCCTAGAATTTGAAAGTGTAATGAAAAAACTAATGAATCATCTCAAAAACAGGTTGTATGATAAATTCATAGGTAGTAGAAAAATAATCTTATTAAGGAATGTTTCCAATAGTGAGAAAATCATTTTTTGCGTCAAAGCTGAACATTTTTTAAAACGACCTATTCAATACTTGCAAGTTCGCTATTTTTCTGAGAACTATATAAAAACTCGCTGCATTGTCTTTACAAGGTGCAAAGGAGAATGCCAGATTCTCTATAGAACTTTGCCCCACCCAAAAGTGTGGTGTTCACGAATGCCGTATGCACCATTTTTTTTTCTACTTTATTACTTCATCCAAATTATAATTATATAATATGAAGTCTCTAGAACTTGCGATTTTTTTTAAACTGGACCTTAATAATTACATTTACCTTATTTTTTAGAAAAGCGTTCGTTGCAGTTAATTGTAATTTCAGAATATAAATTGTCAAGCGCTAATGATATATATAAATAATAATTTAAGGAGCATAATAATATGATGATAACTAATATATATATCCTATAATGATAGTATAGGATCTAAAAGGTCCTTACACAATATAAGACTTGCACCACTTATTATTCGTAAAATCTGAGTCCTAGTTATGTAAACAAGTTATATTATTTACAAAATTATTTTTCAAGATACATATTATTATGACATGTATCTGAAGAAGGTTTGAATATTTACAGAATAGTAACTAATTTTACGACAACGGCAGAACTATAAATTATCAACCATATAAAAAGCTATAAAACTAAATATATCTATTGCAAAGATCTCCATGATGACATAAAATGCCCCTGCATCCTATCGACGCAAAGATGACAATTAGTGCACCTCAACATCGTGGATGCAATCATCAGAATGTCCGTAGTAATTAACAGTAAGTCAATGATAAGGCGTGATCGAATCCGTATATTAATAAAAGCATAAGTCGTCAGCAAAAGCAGGATAAAGTTCAAACGGTAAAGAAACCGGAAATCAGCACAAGCAAAAATGTGATATAATCGTAATCAATATATTTCACATGCACAAATGAGTCAATGTGTGAAAATATTCGACATTAATTTGACATACGTACTTACGATATTGACACAATGACGTGTGTGTATTATTTCACAAAATGCACGAAAATCAATGATTATTATCGACGTATAATAATAATTGAAAATAAAAATTGATAAGTAACATTTTTATAAGACTTATATTTTAATAGAAAAATGTATTGTTTGATACTTTATGCATACGTATATGTACTTATTCGTACAAAGAAACGCAGATGTTATTAGAAAAGACTGGAAATGTAAATATTAATAGTTGAATTCCTTTTTTTTTAAATAATATTTTACCGCAAGTTGTACAAAATAACCATTTATCACAAAAAACTTCAAAATTCATAAGATTATTTTTCATATTTTTACCTTTTTTGTACAAGGTGTGGCACGATCTGGCATTCTCCTTTATATACGTTGGAAGAGTTATCCGTATTACCTGACGTACTTAATATTTCAAACGATATTGACTTTGCAACATTTGAACATCTTCCAAAAAACAAGGACATGTAAAGTGACAAAATTTGGGCATTTTTTAAATGCAACCAAAATGACCTAAAACTTGAAAAATAATATTATTGTCCCGACAACAACCCCAAATTCCCGACATTTTCAAATTTTGTCCAGATATTTTGGCCTTCCGATCTGGCAACCCTAATTGCACCAATAGCGTTATTTAAGAGTTTTGGCGGGAAATTGACCGGCGGCGGTTTGCTACTCCTGTATTATTGTTTAAATAATGGTTTGAAGTGGACTTTGATATATAAAAGTGTTGCGATTTTGTGTATTAAGTGTCTACGCATGTGAACTATTAGTGGAAACAGTGAAACAAGTGCTCTGATGGTGATGGATTCTCAAGATAAGCTGTTTCTTTGCATGGGCACCTTTAGATACCATCGCCAACTATCAGCTGTCTGCTGGATCAAGTTGCCGCCAAAATCTCCCAAGAACTGCACAATGTGACGCATCAACATATTGTGAAGCAGTATACTATGAAGGAGTGGGGAAATTACAATAAACCGAATAAAAATACTTAAGACTTGGCCTAAAGGTCTAGATACAAGGCCATAAACTCCAAAAAAAAAATTAGCGTTATTTAACAAAAACTTATTACAACTTGAATGCGTACCGTGTACGGGCTATCCTACGAAATTTATGTTAAATATTTCTAGTTCATATACCATCATACAGGGCAGAAATATAAACTAATTATTCGATATGAAGTAGTAGGTGGGTTTTAATTTTAGTAAATTTTAGAATATAAAGTATCTAAATGAAATTACAAATCAACCATCGCTCCCCTAAACCACACCAAAGCCCTCCATTTTTTTCTGGAACCCTTAACGCCCCCTCTAGGTCTCCAATTCCCACAAGCGGGCGTTATCGCCCACTTTGAGAAAGACAATTAAAGCAACTGACTTTAAGCTAATGCTAATATTGCACACCTCATAACGCGAAGCGTTATTAAGCCGCGTCTCCACCAAAGTTTTGTTGTCAACACAACAGTTGCCAAGAAAACTTGTTTCCATTTTCGGCGGCAACATCAAAGGAATACGCTTGTTGCCAACATTTGTTCCCTTGGTGGAAACGCTTGTTGACAGAAACATTTGTTGGTAACACGTGTTGGCAACTGTTGTGTTGGCAACAAAACTTTGGTGGAGACGCGGCTTTAGGTAGTGCTTTACTCTCGACACGTCAAGGTCAAGCAATTTTGTGTTCTGAAAATGCCACTATCATAACCATATTGCACTTATACGATAATATGAGTAGCCGTATATCAAGAAAATACTCTAATTAATCCATCTTATATTTTCTAAATAATCATTTTATGTTGCTACAACCAGTGCGTGTTGCCGGTGATGACCTATGGAATTAAGATGTGGTCCTCCACTGCTGGCCGTATGAGGAAACTCAAGGTCGCTCAGCGAGCTATGGAGAGGGCTATGCTCGGGGTTTCTTTGCGTGATAAACTTAGAAATGAAGATATCCGCAGTATAACCAGAGCGACTTATATAGCCCAACGGGTTAGTAAGCTGAAGTGGCAATGGGCCGGTCATATAGCTCGAAGAACCGACAACCGATGGGAAAAAAAGATTATCGAGTGACAGCCTCGTACCGTTAGGCGAAGGCCAAATAACCCCCCGCCCGCCCTGGACGCCTGTATGCTGGTGGCTCAGGACCGTGCTTTGTGGCATTCCTTGGGGGATGCCTATGTTCAGCAGTGGACTTGTGAAGGGCTGTAATGATGATGAGGATGATGATTGCTAATTTGCAAAAAAATATGTGGATGTCCGAATGTTGATTTTGTATGTTGTGGTCATGATAACTCCCAAAAAAATTAATGCATCGAGACCGGGTTTTTTAATAGCTTCAGAATTACATCAACTAGATCCCTATTTCATATCAATAGCCTAGTGAGCGTAGTTTGTTAATAAAATGATTTTCAACTTTTATAAGTTTATTGCCATTAATTTAACGGCGCTTTCATATTTTTTAGGCCTTGATAGACAAAGGACAAATATACCATACAGCCTATATCGATATTATACTTTGTGTAATCAATATATTTTGGTAGATGTGGAGGCGCTGTCGTCGCGTCACAAATGAACATACATCGAAGCCTAAATAACGCTATCAGTTCCGAAGTAAAAGCAGTATATATAGAATAGCTCCGAACTACCACTCGGAGCGTTGGCCGCTCCCCGGGCAGAACACCTTACCCGGCGGGATATCTCCCTTTTCCTTCTAGAGCCACATAGACATTATTATTATTTTTCCCAGTAGGTGACACTACCTGTTAAAACATTAGAGCGCTAAATTTAAAACGCTTAATTAATATAAATCAGGAATAAAATTTATTTTTATTCATCCTAATTAAATGAAACGCTCCTAAGGCGTGCACTTTTGGATTTTCCAAACTATATTAAAAAGCTTATTTTACCTGCGTGAGTTTAACAGGCCCTAGATAACAAGTGAAGGTAAAATTTAATTTCAAAATGTTTAGCTCAAATCGTTTCAAGTGGTAAATGATAATCAAAATTCAAGGCTGTCAAGTTTTCACCTGCCACACGGCCTATTCAGTGCGGTGGGTACATCTGGCAAAGAAATGCTTGCCAGCTTGCTTACTTGTTGGAAAGAGTGGTCTTACAAAGATATGTTTGTGATGACGATGGTAATTTAAAAAAAAAGGAATAATATATGCTACTAATACCTTTGTTTGTTCAGTTATTAAAACCTTTATTAGGAGGTAGGGTTCCTTCTCCGCCTGTATAGGCAGAAAAGGAACCTAAATATGGTTATCTGCATCTATTTTTAAGAATGTTACCATATAGTGGTGGTTACTATATAGTCGAAGGATATACACTACTCCATATCGTCCCGTAGGAGTCGCACGACTCGACAGAGAGAAACAAGCCAGGAGATCTAAGTCGCCTTAATTTGGCAATACTACCTTTTTAAAACGAGTATGGATGGTAATTTTTCTACTCAATAATTTCTTAGAAGTCAACAAAGGGATATTAAAATTGTTACGGCCCCCAGCTGCCCCTGCAAAGGTATCCTTGGATAGGTCTCATAGTAGCCTCCTCGACGGGCAGCCGAGGGTTCGAGCCCAAATGGCCTATGGAGGAATGTCCTATCATATTACACAATAGAGATAAGGCTAGGTAAATAAATAGTACGTACCTGGATCCGAAGCTAAGACCGCACCAAGGCTCGGTCAGGCCGTAGGTAGTTGTAGGTGCATGTAAAGTGGTGTTAAGTGGTGTGTATTTTTATGTAACCTGGCCCAGCTGAGGTGACCAGGCAGCGGCCTGGTCCCATGCTGCCCCACAATGCTGCATCACTCCAGCAGGCGTCACCAAGTGACAACTTCGTTCTTCATGTCACTATTTCAGTCTATCAACTTTATTGTACATTTAACTAACTTCAACTCAACTAATTCAACGTTCATCGTAAAATCAAACACGTGATACCCGACACAAGTAACGAACAGTAGTTCAAAGTTCGTACAACTTAGACAAACTAATCCGAGGCGGTCTTCACGAAACCACAAATTAAGTAGCGAAGTAACGCGCACAAATACTAAAAATCTAGACCATAAAACCAAAACTGGTCGCACGAAATCGCTGCCGCGGTCACTACAAAATACGTTAACGTTACGACAAAAATGTTGTAGAATCTACTTAGAACACCCAATTAATGGCGCTGGAATAACCATTTCGTACCTCTTGCAAGGAGATTCAAGATACGTGAAATCGAGTACTATGATTCATAAGAGAGTAATATAATTTTAAATCAATATAATTAATATAAAATGTCTTTGAGCCATAGCATCCACTTATCAGCAGGTGAATATTAATATTAATGTAAAAAATATTATTATTATATTATTAATTAATTATCGTATCTAAACAGTGTGACTAAATGTATGTATACATGTATACCTACTCAGATGGACTCATAGTATTATGAGTCCATCTCAGTAGGCACCCACCCTCTTACTATTTATGCCCACAAGTAACACTGATGTTTCCCATTTAGTATGGTGGACCACTAAAGTCAAACAATTCTCAGGTGTGAAAATGCAGTCTGTGGATTTCTTCGTTTAAAGTTAGTTGAAGATGTGATGAGCTAAAGTAACTTTAATTATTATTAAAAAATTAAAATAATTAACATATAACAATCTTTTATTTACACATTATACAATCTTTTATTTATACTATAAATCCATTTTTACAATTTCTTCAGCAGTTTTTGACACTTCCTCCTTTGTAACATTCTTCTCTGTCCGTTTCTGGGGTACATCGATTTTATTTTTAGGATTGGATGTGTTTTGTTGCACATTTTTCTTTAATTCCAAGAATTGTTTATCAATTTCACCAATTTTTACTTTCATCTAAAAAGTGAATAAAATAATACATTTTATAAACTATAAAGTTTAGATTATAAACTATAAAGTTATTATAGGCTGTAAGTATTATGTTTATAATGTTCTATGACTATAACACTCACATGAAGCTGTCTCATGAATGTTTTATATGTATTCCGATTTTTATATCAAAATGCATAAAAAAAATTCTCATCTTAGATTTAACATTAAAAAGAAAATTATAACTTATAACTGACATCTACATGATATAAAACACAACTAAATGCAGAAACACATTCACTGTCCCGTGATTCACACATGATCAATTGTTATTGTCTAACTATTGCGTATTGAAGTAAGATAGTGAATGTTAAATAATATGAACAGGATTGTTCTGCAGAAATGTTATTTAGGATGAATCACCTTACAGAATATTTTTATTTCTATTCTAAGACCATAAATTAATTGAAGACTTGTAGTGCAGTGACTAAACATTTGGTTGTGATGCTTCAAAGCCACAGGTTGAGATCCTACACAGAACATGTTTATAATGTAGCCTATGAAAACTTGTTCCAGGTTGTGATGTTTATCTATGTGCAATGTATGTATTTAAAATGCTACAGAAGATAATTCTACTGAGGTAAAATTTTATTAAGAGGCAAATTTAAAAATGGATGAAAAGGCTAAAAGCTAGGAAAGAGGTTTCTAAGTTTTATCTAGCAGTATGTCTCGGTTTCTCATCAATATATTCCTTGGTTTTTGTAAATGACACAATCTAACCACTACAAGTAGTCTAACCACTGTTGTGTTCCAGTCTAAAGGGTAGGGAGAGATACTATTTATATACAATGGTACATTCCAACTTAGTAATCAAATATGATACCTGATATACCTGTAGAATTATTGGTTTAAACTTGGTGACAGGTGTTATGGTTAATGACTCTGTTAGTCACTTACCAGCAAGAGACGGAATGTTAGCTTTTTTTGTAGGATAAGACTGAAAAACGAGCCAACCAAAGGGTGAATGCTGTAGACCATAGACATATACATCTATCCTTGATTAAGAACAAAAATACAATGCGTTGTCACTCATGAGGACTAAGATGGAATGCCGCGTTTCTATTAAAAAGAGTCTCCAGTTCTCTCACTTACCAAATGCAACACATCAACATTAAGCTGCTATTTCACGCTTGTATTCTGTTAGAGTGTGCCCTCCCTGGTCGAGTCGACCCACTTGTGCAACAACCATTATATGTAGAGCTGCATCATGGCTCTACCACATATAAAATGATTTTTAGTCTTCCTAATGTCATAAAAATTGTGTCAATTCCTTTGACTACCTATCTACAATTCATGGCATTTAATACTTACATTTTTTAACCCCAAGTTAACTGCTTTTGCCTTAGATTTTTTTAAACTTTTAGCTCGTGCGACCTTAAATACATTAGCTTTTGGTCCTTTTTTATCCTTCTTTCCCATATTTGCTAAATTATCGTAAGCAATTTTTGTCTTTATTTTTAATACAGCTTATATTTTTCACTTTTTACCTCAGTATTAAAAAACAGTATCAATAAATATTTACACCAGTTTTTAAGTCATATAAATATTAAACACATAAATTTAAGGTTAGTTTAGGCTTGGGCAAAAAATATCAATATGTCGATATATATCGTCGATATTTTAAAACGCGATATATCGATATTTATTTTAGTGTATCGAATTCGTAATAATTTCGATATATTTTAAAATAATGTATCGTTTTTTTCGTCGTCCAACTGTCAGTAAATAAAATTTTGGACCTCATCTTTACATCATGCAATTGATGACGATATATTGATATTTATCACGCGATATATATCGATACTGTTTAAATATATAGATTCGATATATCTTTTTCCCTTGCCCATCCCTAGGTTAGTTTATGGTTAACGTTTACTTTTTATTACTAAAGGATCTATGTCAATGGCCATACAGCCTAGTTTGACGTATATTTGCTTGGGGAACTGAATACATAGAGATCACTGGCCTGGGGTTACGGAATTCTTCACGTATAGCGAAACGTCAAAGTACGAAAGCAACTACCACGACGATTTTGACGATAGCAAATACCCCTATTGTACTACCCTGATTTAAGGGTAGGCGTGGCCCCTGATTAGGCATGTCAGTTATTACACTGCACTGATTTTACGCCCTTAGTCATAGAGATGGGGCAAGTGAAAAAAAAAATCGATATTTTTAAACAGTAACAATATATATCGCGTGATAAATTTCGATATATCGTCATGTTTTGCATAATGTAGTAGTAGGGTAAGGGCCAAATCTTTTTTAATAATTTAAACATTTATTAAACATTTTTTACTTTTACATTTATTTCTTTAGAATTGAATTTAAAAATAACAATTTTAACAACCTGGTGAAATAAAAAAAGATCTAAAGGTAGAGCTGTATTATAACTTTGTAATGTTATTGTAAACTGTTAAAAATAAATATTTTATGAAGAAAACGCCTTACATGCATTATTATGGCTTCACTTTTTCATTTCCGGGATAAGCAGGGAGGGTCTTTCTTACTACTTTCATTTATTTTCCAGTTGGCAGTTATTGTAAAAAAAAACATAAAAAAATTGTAGGCCTCATTCAAAGTATACATACAATCATAATATAGCCTCATACAGTTTCATTCGTCACATTCTTGGATTACGCGGGTGAACTCAAGATAATTTAGGGCAGTGGTAGTTTATATGAAGGTTCGTTACGTTCATATATGTATGTTTTGGGGTTGCACTGCCGTGAATATATAGAGAAATAGTCAATCAGATGCGCGTTTACCGCTAAAAGGAACCTCTTTGTCGTATCTCTTCTGTTTCAAGCCACTCCCCTTGTTGCCTCAGCCAGTGTCGGAATCCTCGGTGTCGACATATTGAGTGACATGCAGTTTCGTGGTCACTTGGAAGAGAAGGCCAAATTGGCCTCTAAAAAGCTTAGCATGCCCAACAAAGCGGGACAGTATTTCATGCCGCCACACCGCCTGCAACTTTAAAAAGCGCAGGTTTGGCCTCACGTGGAATACTGTTCCCATCTCTGGGCTGGAGCTCCCCAGAGCCAGCTCCTTCCACTTGACCGCAGGCAGCGTAGATCGGCTCAAATAAAAAAAACTCGTCAACGACCGAGTCCTTTCCGATCGGCTCGATTCACTGGCGCTGCCAAGAGATGCAAAAGAAAGATGGTAGATGCGAAAGAAAATGCATCCCTTTGCATTTTCTTTCGCATCTACGACGGGAAGTGCGCTGAGGAATTGTTCGGATTAATCTCAGCTGCCAAATTTCACGAACGCACATCACGGCAAAATTCTCGATACCATCCACATTATCTGGATGCTTGGCGGTCCATCACTGTACGTTTCACCAGGAGTTTTCTTCCGCGTACGACCTTTCTGCGAAATAGCTTACCACCGGCGATTTTTCCAGACCGATACGACTTAGGGACCTCCAAGAAAAGAGCTTACTCCTACCTAAAAGGCCGGCAACGCACCTACAATTCCCCTGTTGTTGCATTTGCTCATGGGCGGCGGTAGTTACGTGCCATCAGGTGTGCCGTATGCTCGTTTGCTCATGGCATTGGCATGTGAATGATTTGATGTAAATTGTATTATTTTCAAAATCAAAGTTTTTTAATCTTTTTTGAATACCACTCCCTATAAGTCTGATTTGAAAATAAGTCCTTCAGTTAAGATCTTCCTATCTCTAAATGGCCTATCGTGGCAACTTCGGTACCCCGTGAGCGGTTATTCTCAGAGGCTGGAGCTACAATCACCCAGAAGACAAACCGCTAACTGGGCACTAGGTTGTCAAAATTGCTAATTTTTATTTTCAACTCTAAAGAAATAATGGTAAAAGTAGAAAATGTTTCATTAATACTAGTTTTCTGTTAAAAATTAATAAAAACATTTTCTTACCCAACTACATCATGCAAAACATGACGATATATCGATATTTATAACTCGATATATATTGTTACTGCTTAAAATATCGATATACATATTTTAATTTGCTCATCCCTATGACTGAGTAAAGTGTAAAGGGCACCCGAGAAGATCAAACACGTAGGTTTTGGTTTGAGTCAAACCAATTTGATCGTTTCGCCGTTGGTTTGACAGGTTTGATCAAACGTTACGTGTTTGAAGCTCGTTTGATGGAAATTTATATTTTGGTTTTATTTGAAGCACCGTTTGATCGTCTTCGCGATGTGTTTGATCAAACGTCATCCTCAGTCTTGTGCTGAATTTCGAAGCGATACGTTCGGTATGTGTACCTCAATGTTATAGACAATCTTTGATTTACTGGAATAGCTTGCTTCATGTTAGTAGGTATCCTGTTTTTGAATTAATGGTCGAACTTTATTCAATTATTTTTTATAAGAATCATTGTCCATCCACAGAAAGTTCTTATAATCATCTGGTGCGCTAGTTTCTAGCACTCTTTGTAGATGTTCGTGTGTGAAACGATATCTTAATTTGTACCATTCTTTGCACCAAATTCTTTTTCTTTTTTTCTTATTATTTAAGCAAGACATTAATACAATTAAAGCGAGAAAATCTTTATCCCTAGTTGACGGCATTTTTTGAAACCGCAATAGGACTTCCTTGTTTGAACTTTGAAGCCACACTGCCCGCTTCTGTTTGATGCGAATTCAAAGCGACATCAAACGCTTTGGTCAAACACGTGAGGTTTGAATCAAACCGTTTGACCGTCTCGGGGGCCCTTAATAACTAATTAGGGGCCATGCCCACCCTGATTCAGTGTAGTGGTAGTTATTATTCAGGTTATTAACCCTGAATCGGGTACAAGGAACTATTTTCCCACCTCGTAAATCTTGCTAAATACACGAATATTTTTAAAATATCAACTCCCCAGACTCTATTGTTTACCCAAATATAATATTGGATAATTAATGATTTATTTTATTGACAATCCCATCCTTTCAAATGTCAACGTCAGAATCAGATTAACGTCACTGAACGTCACGTTTGAAAAAACCGCTTGTTTTTCAAGAAGTGGTAGAGCCATATTAGTAGTATAGATGTAGCACGAATGGGTCGGCTCGACCGGGGAAGGACCACGCTTTCACAGAATACCAGCGTAAAATAACAGCTTAAAACTGCTGTGTTTCGTATGGTTAGTGGTAGAGAACCGGAGACCCTTTTTACTGGAAAAGAGGCATTCCATCTTAGTCCTCACGGGTGACAACGCATCTGCATTTTGATTTGCAAACGAGGATATACGTCAATGTCTATGGGCCACAGTAACCACTTACCACCAGGTGGACTGTGTGCTCGTTTGTCACCCTATCCTATAAAAAAAAACATAGTTTATCTAAAGTTTCTTCCAAAAAGATTCTTGTAAGTAGATATTTTCATTCATTTTTGACTAATTTATTACTTTCTATGTAACTTTGTTAGGAAATTTAATGCAAAAATGTAATTAATATTTGTGTGTATTTGAGTAATTTGAAATATTTGCTCTGTCGACGTTTTTATTTTTGTTAAATAATTGTTAGTTTTACTTGTTTTAGATAATGTCTTAATAGAAAAATTAATGATAGAACACTTGAACATATATTAGACAATCTTTCTAATTTATCGGACGTCGATACTTCTGATGATGACGATATTTATGGTGATTGCCTGATAAGTCCAACAGATTAATTTTATCGTATAAACTCAGAAGACTTAGTCGAGACGTATAGAGGAAACATTTGGTAAACAAACTTAAGATCCTGCACCAAATGACACTAGAAACAAAACGGAGCTTCCTACTTCCTCATGCATAGAAATTTTACAAGGGCCTTCAACATCCAGATAAAGTACTTCTGCTTCTTCACCACCACATACTACGCCATCGTTGCTTTCATCAACTTTGCCAACAAGTCAAATTTTGATGCAGCCGTTAACTACACCATCATTGTTTCTATCAAACGAACCAACGGGACCGGTTCCACGTGACCAACCAACCCTTGCAAGGCCAAATATAAGAATAGAAAGAACAATTGAGCAGAAACTGGTCTGACGTAACAGATTTATTTAGGTATATTAATTATGATGGGGCATAATCCATTACGTAATATGGAATATTACTGGTCGATTGATCCGTTCAATATAAGCTTTTTAGCGTAAATATCAAAGGTATTTAAGATTTTTAAGAGAAGAAGGAATTTAAGAAAATCACCGAAAACTTACATTTAAATGACAATTCTCTAGTACCATCTAGAAACTCTCTGAATTGACAAATTATATAAACTACGACAATTTATAGAAGGACTTAATGAAATTTTTCAGAAACAAACAGCCAACTCCAGTATTTAGTCCATAGACGAAAGTATGGAGAAATTGACGGGGCGATATTCTTTAAAACAGTATTTGCCGAAGAAGCCTATCAAACGCGGATTGAAGGTGTGGGCTAGATGTGACGCCGAAACGGAATATCTCTACCAATTTGAGGTGTATACTGGAAAGGGAGATAACATGGAACACGAAGGTTTAGATTACGTTGTTTGGAAATTCAGCCAATTTGCTAATAAACACATTATTGGTGTTTGACAATTTTTTTACTGGAGTAAACTTACATGATGATTTATACATGAAACATGTGTATGCTATGGGAGCAGTACGTAACAACCGGAAGGTACTGCCAGATATAATCAAGAAGACTCAGCCAAGAAATATGCGCTTAGGGAAACATGAATTCGCAGCAGTAACTGCATCACCTGTATCACCAATAAAATGGGGTGATACCCGAGAGGTATGCGAGCTCACCACAGCACACAATCCGAAGGATTTCTTTATAAAAAGAACAAAATATGGCACCAAAGCAGACGTAATTGCTGATTATACGCAATCTATGGGAGGTGTCGATCGTTTAGATCGTTTTAAAACGTCATATCCCATAAATAAAAAAGTTGAAAATTTTGGATGCGATTATTTTTTTCTTGTTTGATGCTTGCTGCCATAATAAATTCTTATATAACATACACAACTATCCATAGGATTACGGGCGACTCACGTAAAGATTTTAGGCTACAGCTGGCGCGAGGGTTGATTAATAATTACAATTACACGAAAAGGGATACAATCATAAACTTAGGTCACTAAACAAACAAAAAAGCACCCACTCCTTGGTGCGAAAATGTTTATGGAACACCAACGCGAGCTTAGTGCTTTCTGGAATTCAAACGCGAGCTGACGTCGCATTTTTAAATGCATGGTTGATAATAACCCCTGGAAATGCGGTGGTCGCTTCAAAGCTGTTTCAAGCGAAAATAAATTTTGTAAATAGTTTGTAACCATTTACTTATATTGTAAAATTTATTTAAAAACAGTCTCGCTGGGTTTCTTACATACACTCACCATCGATTTGCCGACGATATAGTCCTTATGGCAGAATCGCTGGAGGACCTAAGCACTATGCTCAATTACCTCAATAGTGTCTCCCAACGGATAGGTCTAAAGATGAACATGGACAAAACAAAAATCATGTTTAACATCCATATCACACCTATGCCGGTAGTTGTTGGGAGCACTAAGTCGAAGTTGTTGACGAGTATGTTTACCTGGGACAAATAGTTCGACTAGGTAAGTCCAACTTCGACCGAGAGATCAATCGACGGATTCAACTCGGCTGGGCAGCGTTCGGGAAACTACGACACATCTTCTTGGTAGACATACATCAAAAATGAAAACGAAATTGTACAACCAGTGCGTGTTGCCAGTGATGACTTACGGATCTGAGACGTGGTCCTTCACTGCTGGCCGTATGAGGAAGCTCAAGGTCGCTCAGCGAGCTATGGAGAGGGCTATGCTCGGGGTTTCTCTTTGTGATAAACTTAGAAATGAGGATATCCGCAGTAGAACCAGAATAACCGACATAGCCCAACGGATTAGTAAGCTGAACTGGCAGTGGGCCGACCATATAGCTCGAAGAACCTTCAACCGATGGGGTTCTCCAGTAGCAGCCTCGTACCGGTAGGCAAAGTGTAGGGCGATCCCCCACTAGATGGAGTGACTTTTAGATATTTTGCACTATATTATTTATTTTTAGGCGTTTCTTCAAGTTGACAGGGTATTGGATAATTTGAGATAAAATCGAACTTCAGGTAACCCTGTTTTTTATTCCCACCCAATGTGATTTCTTTTAAAAAAATTATCGAATGGGATAGGGTCAAAAGAACTAGAAAAGTGTAGAATGAAAAAGTTTTTCATTCTGTATATCCTAATAATGGTATGATATTTTATTTAGTTACATATTCATTATTCGTATGAGACTAAGTGTTACTATAATTTGAAAATCTTCATTACAAAACTCAAGATTTAGAAATAAAAACATTGAAAATTAGGTGCAATAAATAAGGCTATTTTGATATTTTTTTAAAATAATTGCGGGAGTATTCCTACAGATTCTAGGGTAAAACCAAAATCATGTGGAAACACTGGTTTCGTGGTAGTTCATGAGTATTTACGAGATGGCGCTGATTTATTCTATGCTTAAACCGTGAAAACTTTATGTTCACACCACTATATCTATTGGGGTGAATTTTGGAGTTCCGGATGAAATTCGGTTCCAAAATGTCGGTGTGCCTCTCCCCGAAAAAGAAGTACCTACAAAAGGTTCCGATTTTGCAGCACAAAAATAATGAAAAATGAACCAACAACTTGTGCTGCACATTCAAGGTTTCATTATGCCCGCAAGACTGAATAAACAATTTCATTTCACTGCATTTTTTTTTTAAATTGTTTCCATTTTTTATTGAATCCTTCATTCGCGCACTGACCCTCCACCTCACTTCCAAGTAAATAACTGTGCACATTTACTTGAGAATTGAGGAACATAAAAGTAAAGACAGGGTAAGTTACTAGTCTATTAAAATTTATAGAAATAATGACTACAGGTGAAGGTCACCAACACGCATTGGGGCAGCGCGGCGGACATTTCCTTGCCCTTAAAACCCACTCAGAAATGAGAGGCCTGTGTCCAGCAGTGGGACGTATATAGGCTGTAACTTTTACTTTTTTTCTAACAAACTGGTCATGGATCTCTCCCATTGTTTGTCCTAATTGCCACGATTGATGATAGCAATTTTATTTATAAAACTGAAGTTACAAACGAACTTACAGTCCACATGATGGTAAGTCGCTACACCAGTCCATGGTCACTTGCAGCCAAATTTACGAAAGCTGTAAATACGTTATCTATGGAATGTCTCAAAGCCGGTAATTATAACTCTCCTATATATAACCTTTACACTGGAACACAGATTTAGCGCCAAAAATAGGTACAAGTGTAGTAGTACTTAGTACTTACACACTCGGACAGCTAGGTAGAATTATAGTAGTCCAAACATTTCGGTTCACTTGTCATATGTGATTCCTTGAACTTTGTTAGTTTTTTCTGCTTAACTCTGCAGAAATCTAAGCACGGTTAAAGGGAAGGGGGAAGAACGAACATATCGTCTACTTGTTCGAGGGTCACAGAGCTAATGAGCCCACAGGCTATAATTGTAGTCTTTTGTACGTCTTCAATGAGCTATTAACGTACCGTACAGACCTCTTTTTATATTCCATATGTTATTAAGTATTAACTGTACTACGTACATTCAGTTTAAAATACACAAATAAAGAACCAAATATAGATCAGGCTTATAATTGAGAAATAATATCACTAAAGAAATTCAAAATGAAAAGGTACAAGTACACTTACAAGTAGTTCTTTTTTTTAATCACAATTGCACGTAGTTACATAAAAAGGATCGGACTCACAATAAAACATTAGCTAAATATGACCAAAATAACACAAGTGTAACATTTAATTTAAAAAAAAACTCGATAAGAAGCAAAATTGAAAATAAACTGAAGCCAGCCGTTACCACTGAATACCGATCCAAGCTTAGCATTAACTTGGAAAAGTTGTAATGTGGAATGTATTATAATATATTAAAGCTTCAATATTCATACTACTGATTTAAGGCTTGAAGCGCGCTGTCCTAGTGGGCGCTGCGAGAAAACGTTAGAAAAATATTTCTTATGTCGTATTTCGAGGCGAAAAAGATGGGCGGCCCTTGATTTTCGATCGTAATAAGCCGGTCAAGTGTTTGCTTATTTAAATTTTTATACAATAACTTGTTTAATTTTTTTTACTAGGAGACTTACAAGTTACGCAAATCTAAACCAAGACATATCAATCTTTCAAAATTAACTTTATGTGGGTTAGGTCCTTTTTGTGTATTTCTACATCCAATTTCTCAATTTATATAGAGAGCGTCACAACATCCGTTATTTAACAGTATAATATTATGATTATTCTTATAATTAAATATGTACAGCCATTTTTTTAAATGTTCTTAATTTACTTATTAAGTTATCTCTAATATATCATGTAATTTTAATCAAAATTATCCAGAATAAAGCAAATAACAATGTTCTTTACATTCCTGACATCACGGTACAGCCTCAGTTTTTTTTTGTATGGCATAGGAATCGTTATCATTTTTTTTTAATAAAAGAAGTTACATAACATCTATTTAGGATTTCTCAGTCAGATCACCAATAAACAAAACTAATAAAGAAATATCTAATTGCTTCATGAAAATAATACAAAACTCTAAATGTAATGGAATGAACAAAAATGCTTAAAAATAAATTACACATTCTAATATTAAATCACAGTAAAATAATAAAAACTGAATAGTTTAATTTAATATAAACTTCTTTTCTTATAATCATAGATAAAATAATTCAAAAATCTTATACTTAACCTCAGTCTTCAATTAATTTAAATTTTTCTTGATAACTTTACATTAATTATCACAATAATCTAATAATTTTTAAGGATTTCAATCTGTTTTATAAGTTACACAAATTAAATTTATATTCAATTTGTGTAACCTATATAATTGTTGCAACAATTAGGTTATCTTGTGAGTGTGTGTCTCGTGTTGATGGTTCTAAAAATAATTAATACTATATACTCGTAACCAAACAAGCACACACAGATATAAAGTACCCATCAGTAAATATTACACATCGAGTTTCGAAAGAGACATATTCAATTACAAAAAAAGTAATTGTTTTGATACCGAACAGCTACCACTTCGTGCGACAGGTCTATAAAGCCGAAACTAGCAATCACTTTCTAAAGCTCGATTTTTATTCCGTGATTTAAGTAGTGTATATAAAACGAAGAAATAAATACTTACAGTCATTATCAGTTCTGGTTGAAATTTTAAGGGAGCACTCTGAAAGGACTAACTCCCTTTCATTAAAATTAAAATCGACAAAATGAAACGACTTGAGTTTTTTTGTGCATTTGTGTTGATAGCTCCTTCGTTTCTGGAGTTGGTTAAAAATCTATCATAGGTACATTTTAACAAAATATAATAATCCTTCTTTCCCTAATCTTTATCTACATAATACTTTAATAGGTCATATTTTATTAGGTATTCTTTTGCCTTTTGATCCCAATCATTGTTGTTGACAGTACGAGGACTTGGGTGTGGAAGGTACAGCACCTTGCAAGAAAGAAGACCACACTATTATTACTATACTATTAACTTTCCATAAAATGTTAAACAAGACATCTTAACATTTAACTTAAAACAGGAAATGACTGTTGGTGAATATGAACCACAAACCAGTGTCACCTCTCCTATGTAAATAGTTAATATTATGATTTATAGATGAATTGCCGTGCAGTCACAGCGTAAGTGAATCCACTACCTCGTATTTTCCCGTGGGTGTCGTAAGAGGCGACAGAGGAAATCTAAAGTAGGAGATTGGTAGCTGCATTGTCGTAATATGACACCTACATATTATGTCATACACTTCAATTATGAAAATAAATAATATCCCTCTTTAGGACAATCTATTAGGGAGGCCCTACTAAACCAGCATACCCTTATTATAACTTCTACAGTAACCAAAAATATCATGGATTCATTAGACGCGAAGATAGAAAAAATTTGTTGAAAAAAATAAAAACCTTAAAATGAAAGTACAAAAATTGGAAATACAAATTAATATCCTAGAAAGAAACAAACGAAAGAATAATTTGGTTTTCTTTGGCATTGAAGAAAATGGTAAATAGAATATGGACTTACTTATAAAAGAAATCATAGTGGAATCGGAAACTCGCATAGACTGCCAAGAAATGAGCAATGTTTACAGGATTGGAACATCATCTAACAAAAAACGTCCCATAGTAGTTTCTCTAACGAACTTATGGAAAAAACACCTTATATTGAGAAACAGGTCCAGCTTTCCTCCAGGTATTTACGTCAAAGAAAACTACCCCAAGGAAGTGCTAGAGGTACGAAAGCAATTGCAGTCGAAGGTTGAAGAGAGGAAGAAGGGAAATATAACATTGGCATGACGTAAATAGAGAAAAAAGAAAATGAGAGAAGACAGATTCACCAAATTCGCCAATCCAAAAGAAAATTAACACCACCAATATCTCAAATAACCTCCCGAAAGGCGGCCAAATAGAAAAGGTGACACCAAATATGCTCAACTACATATCACGAAACAGGGCAGCCTCAGTATCAGAGATTGCAAAAAAAAGTAATAACCATTAACACCTGGAACCGAATATTTGCAAATCAGACAACACTAAACAAACCAACATTACAAAAATGCACCCCAAGCTGGCTAGTCATCGTGGAGGAAGTCGACTGCTACCCTCCAATTAAACTGCCTCAAACTCATATGCTTTAGCAACATATAATACACTCTCCTTAAGAACTAACGAAAGCTTGTCGAAACCGATACCAGCAATAGAAAATATAAACTGGTCTATAATAGTGAAGTAAGACGTCAAGGGGATAGTATACAAGATCATGGGGAATTTATTTTAAATTATAAAGGGGAAACACCAGGCAAATTGGGAGTAGGGTTTTTGATTAAAAAAAAGTTAAGCAAATTCATTGATGAATTTATCGGCATATCCGATCGTATTGCAATACTAAACATGAAACTACCACCCAATGATATGTAGAATAGAATAGAATAGAATATTTTTTAATTCAATGTAGATCACATGTGTAATTCTTATTGAAAGACATTTTTTACTTTACCACTGGTTCGAGAAAAAACCTCTGTCCTGGGAAGAACCAGCAAGAAACCCAGCGGGACTTTTTTTTTAAAGCAAATTTTACATTAATGGTTGTACAAACTATATAAGTACAAAATTTATTTTAGAAACAGCTTGGAAGCGATCACCTCATTCCCAGGGGTTATTATCAGCCATGTATTCATTTATACCATAATAACCCTTTTTATACAGTTTCAACTTAACAAAACATTTAAACTTGCTAATAGAGAGAGCCTGTACACTTTCCGGGACCTTGTTGTAATAGCCTATACAATGCCTCAAGAATGAATTACTGACTCTGTGGAGTCGAGAAACTGGTATCACTAGCTTGTGTTTGTTCCTAGTGTTTACAGAATGTATATCACTTTTTTTACTAAAACTACCTTTGTTTTTGTGAACATACAATAAATTTTCGTAAATATACTGAGAGACCAAAGGTAATATATTTATTTCTTTAAATTTATCTTCTCTCGGTTTTAGGTTGTAAATAGCTCTAATGGCCCTCTTCTGTAAAACAAAAATAGTTTCTGAATCAGCCGCATTTCCCCATAGCAAAATCCCATAAGATATTATGCTATGGAAATAACTGAAATAAACTAATCTAGCTGTCTCAACACTAGTGAGACCTCTAATCTTTTTTACAGCATAGGCTGCAGAACTTAGTCTGCTTGCTAGTTTGGAAATATGGGGGCCCCACTGAAGTTTTGCGTCGAGAGTGATGCCAAGAAAAACAGTGGATTCAACAGGGCTCAGTTCTTCCCCATTTAAAAACACATTGGTATTCAGATTTTTAACATTCGTTGTTGTAAATTTAATACATTTAGTTTTATTTCCGTTTAAATGTAGATTATTAACGTTAAACCAATGCACTAATTTCGATATAGCATTATTAACTTCGTCACATTTAAATGATTGACGTTTAAGTTTAAAAATCAAGGAAATATCATCAGGAAATAATACTATATCATGATTATCCTCTACAAGAGAAGGTAAGTCATTAATATACACTAGAAATAGGAATGGGCCGAGAATCGAGCCTTGAGGGACAACCATTAGTACAGGTGAGCCGGAAGAACTTTTACCATTGATAATAACTTTCTGCATTCTATTACTTAAATATGAAATAATAAGTTTAAGCGCTGTGTTCTTGACACCGTATTACTGTAACTTCCTGATTAATGTCTCATGGTGAACACAGTCGAAGGCCTTGGAAAGTTTACAAAATATACCCAAAGCATCCTCTGAATTCTCCCATGCACAAAAAATATGTTTAATAAGCTCAACTCCAGCGTCAGTTGTCGAGCGACCCCTTGTAAAACCGAATTGATTTCTATGTAGCAATTTATTAATATTAAAGAAACATAACATCTGTTCTAAAATTATTTTTTTCAAAAATTTTACTAAATGTTGGTAGTACAAAAATTGGTCTAAAATTGGCGGGGTCTAATGTACTACCAGATTTAAATAAAGGTATGACTTTACTATGTTTCATTAAATCAGGAAACACACCAGATTCGACGCTTGTATTAAATATAGTGGCTAGATAAGGTGCTATTATATCTATTATAGATAAAATAACTTTAAGGGAAATCCCCCATAAATCTGCCGTTTTCTTAACATCAATAGTTTTAAAATATTTAACGATATCTTTTGGCAGTACTCTATGGAATTTAAAAGTATTTGAACAAGCCTTTACATTTTGTTTGAGCAATGATTCGGCGACAGTAGGAGAAGTTTAATGATTTAGTTGTCAAAAAAGGAACATCAGTAAAATGTTTCTCAAAAGCCATAGCAACTTCTTGATCAGATCGAGTTAAATTATTGTTAATATTCAATTGAAAATCCGAGTAGCGCGGTTTGACCTTGCCCGTTTCACTATTTATTATTTTCCAGGTCATTTTAATTTTGTTAGATGCAGTTTTAATTTTGTTACTTAAATGTAAAGCCTTAGCTGTGGCGCACACTTTTTTAAATATTTTAGAATATGTTTTTACATAATCTCTAAATATAACACTACTATTATATGATCTTTCATTATAAAACTCGTATAACTTTCGCCTACTCTTATAAATTCCTACTGTCGCCCATTCATTAAATGATTTGCGACTGTTAAAAGAGAAAATTTTAGAAGTAAATATTCTACTAAATTCACAAGTTATAATTTTAAATAACGTATCATACAAATAATTAGCACTGTTTTTAAATGAAAGTGATGGAAGTCTTTTTATTATATTACTTCTAAATCTCTCGAAGCGATGTTCATTTATTGGAACAAACACAACTTTCTTATTTTTCTGTTTTTTGTGTATGTAAGGTAGTGATACCAATTGTCCACAGTGATCTGAACTTAAATTTTTGAATAATTGATTTATGCAAGGGTTTAACATCTGTAAAAATATTATCTATACAGGTCGCACTAGGCCCAGCAATACGTGTTGGTTCTAAGAATAAATTAACAAGATTACACGATTTAAACAATGAACTAAACTTAATAGTAATGGAAGAAGTTTCCAGGAGATTGATGTTAGTCTCCACATATTTTTTTTGTTAATATAAAACATTACCCCCACACTAGGATTTTCTCCTGTGTCGTGGAGGCAGTTTACAAACATAAATTGCACAAGGACAAACATCCAGACCCGGAACAATTATTTGTAGGCCATACAAATACTTGTTCCGTGCGGGATTCGAACCCGCGGCCCCCAGCGCAATAACTGATTGCTAAGCCACTGCACTTGACAGAAACTTAGTAAACAGACTTGTTCTGTTTACCAAGTTTTAGCAAAACTTCTTCCAGAATCCTTTCAAAATAGTCATAAGTAGCACATGGGGGTCTGTAAACACTTACAACAATGAGGTGCTCGAGCTCGACACAAGCCATTTTTACAGTTCGCTCAACAGAGAGGCTCACTATATCCTTACGTTATTTATATAATAATGATTTATCTGCTAGTATTAAGGAGCCACCACGTAAACTTTTTTCCCTATTGAAGGAACTGACCACCTGGTGATTTCTGAAATTAAACATGAAATTATAATCTTTTAGCCAATGTTCAGTAATACAAAGGATATGTATGTTGTTACTATTTAAAAACAATTTAATTTCTAATTCTTTGCCCATCATGCCTTGTATATTTTGATGCACCACGTATAAACAATTTTTATTACTTATTTGTGGGCTGCATTCAAAGTTAATTACTCTTATTATTGCTAGAGATTGCCTCTATTGTCGCATTTACTAATTTTAATTAGTTGGAACTGATTCCAAATTAATTGCCAATTAATTATCCTGCCCAATAAAAGCAGTCTTGGTAGCCAAAAACTTGGCTGATTTAAAAAGTAAATAATAAGATAGCACATTTGCTACCAGTCTTAAATTATATTCGGATAGGTAATACCTATCTTTTGTACAAAACTTTTTTATTAAATTATTTATAATTAACTAAATGAAATTTGTCATTATTATCATTACATTTATATGTCAAATTCAAATTATTGTTACATATTAAATTATTCATTTGTATATTTAAATTATGTCTTAGATTATTTTCAGGGATTGCCCTGTATGTAAGGCAGTGTGAACAAGACAATTTTGTGTACATTTAAGTTATTAAGTTGCTCAATATATCTTAATAACTGTTTGTTGTTTACACTGCCTCTTCTACCAACAAAAATTATTATTGTACTATTTGGGCAAAATTTAGTAACTATAATTTTATTTAAGATGTCACTAAAAGATGCTCCAGGCATGCAGTAATTTGTAATTTTTTGTCCCTTTAAAGAGTAATTTAAAGTTATGCCTAGATTTTTTCCCATGTCATCGTTATACACAATGATATTATTTTTGTTAATATTTGGGTTATTTTTTATTTTAAGCTCCTCTACTGTGGCACTGTCATAGAATTTAGGTGGTGTACTCGTATTATCAGTACACACCGACTCTGAAGAAGCTGGTATTGAATGCTGACACTCACATTGATGTTTAACTAAGGAGTCAAAACGCTCCTCATTATATTTACATGTTTTTACCAGATTATCCATAGCCAGTATGAGTTCTTTTATTTCGTTTTGGGCTGATTTATATTTATTGTACACAGTTTGAAGGGAGTTTGTAAGAGATAATTTTTCTGATTTAAGGCACTCTATGTCAATTTCATAACATTTTTTTATGTTATCCACCTCAATTGAATACAACTTAAGTTCATATATCAATGCTTGCTTTTCTTTACATAAATTAACATCATTTTTGGTATTAATCTTATTTTTTATTAATTTTTGTACTTTCTTAACTACTAATATAGCTGCAGCATGGCTCTACCACGTAAAAAATATAACAGATTGCAAGTACTTCTATGTACAAAGATAATGAGTAAACGGAAGCATGAACAACATAAAATAACATGGCTGTCAAACAAAACAAGGGAACTGTTGAAAACTAGAGCTGATCTAATAACTACCACTAATAAGACAAAAAGTATAAGAAAAGATATATCTGAAATTAGTAAAGAAATCAAGGTAAGCATGGGAAAAGACCGACAAAGGTACAGACTAGAAATTGAAAAAGTGCATACAGAAAACGGAGGCATTAAGAAAGCAGCTAAACTATTGCCACAAAAAAGGGATTTCTATCCTTAATATGGGGTATCCCCATATTAAGGATAGAAACGACAAATAAGCAACTCTGAGAGCAAAAATTATTTAAATAGTTACTAACTTTTTTCAAAACTTGTATACCAAACAAAATATAATATGGATGACATTCCAAAAATAATGTATGTAAAAGTAGATACAGATATTAAAACACAAAGGAAAGATAAAGCTCCTGGTTCTGATGGTGTAAATAATGAATTCCTTTTAATTATAAAGACCTCCTTATACCCATACTTACACACATATTTAACGATGTTTTGAAGAGCAAGTTAATACCAGATCAGTGGACAACATCAACTATAATACATAAGAAGTGCGATAAAAATAATATCAACAATTACAGACATATCACCCTAGTGTCTAATATCTACAAAATCTTTGCTAAAGTGATCCTAAATCAAATTACCAAAATACTTGATGAAAATCAACCAAGGGAGCAAGCAGGAGTTAGAAGTGGATATTCAACATTAGACCATATTCATGTTGTCAAGCAACTGTTTGAAAAAACAAAGAATATAATATTACCTTCTACTGCTGTTTTGTTGATTCTTGTAAGGCCTTTGACTCACTCGAACATGAAATAATGCAAGCACTTAAGAACCAGTGTTTTGAACATAAATACATCAGAATAATGAGAAATATCTACAAAAATAGTAAAGCCAAAATCAAATTAGAGAAAGAAGAATAAGAAATAAATATAGGAAGAAGAATGCTTCAAAGCGATTGCCTGTCGCCCAAACTTTTCACAGCGGTACTGCAACACGTATTTCGCCAATTAGAATGGAAAGAAAAAGGACTACAAATTAATGGTGTGAATCTGTCGCACGGAGGCTAAAGGAAATAATGAAAAACAAAGATACTAGCACGACCATCAAACGTAAACTCTTTGATAGTTGTATTTTCTCTCACATATGGCTGCCAGTCTTGGGCTCTCACCAAAACCTATATTCGGAAATTAGAAATTTGTCAAAACGCCGTGGAGAAAAGTATGATGGAAATAAGATTATCCAACAGAGTAAAAATTACAACTATAAAGAAACATACAAGAACAAAAGATGTGACAATCACAATAACGCAACTTAAAGATGGACTTAGGACCTTGGAGATGGACAGGACATACACAGGACACAGGGGAACAGACAAATGGTGCAAAATAATAATGCACTGGTACACAAGTTACAAGAAAAGGAAAAGAGATAGACCATTCAGAAGATGGGTTGATAACATCAAAGCAGTAGCTGGTAAAATATAGACCAGAACAGCTGGTAATAGAGAGTTGTGGAGACAATCGGAGGAGGCCTTTGCCAATAAAGGCAAACAGACAGAATTACAGAGACAATTGGAAACAGAAGTTAAATAAAAAAAAATAGTTAAAATCATAATTATTGATGTAACTTTAACCTGCAATATTAATATTTCTTTTTTGTATCATTGTCTGAATAGAGGGCTATTATTATTATATAAATAAAAACCCGACCAGATGGAAACACTCGGCAGGGGAGACCAAATGGCCGAGGGTTAGGGGGAAAGGGAAAGAAACCGGCTGACGAAGCGGGCGGTATCGAGGAGCACCGCCTTCTGCATTTGAGCTTGGAGCGGTCCGTTACGGAGTCCCAGTCGCCTCAGATGACCCGAGAGGCTGACTGAGATTAACCCGTTCGCAGAAACGACTACAGATATAATTTCGGCCGGCAGTCACCTCGTGAGCCAGGTCCAGATATTTTGTACGCTTATCTGTTTCGGCTTTCACGAGGTTCTCGTCATACAGAATGGTAATGTCGACCAAAAATATCCTTGACTGTGCCCGGTCCATCAGCACAATTATTATTATTATTATTATTAAGGAGGCCCACACTCAGCAGTAGACTTTTTTATAGAATAATGGTGACAAACGAGCATACACTCCACCTGATGTTAAGTGGATAGACCTATCTCAATATCTATTCTTGATTATAATGCACATGCATTGTCACCCCTGTGGACTAAGATGGATTGCCTCGTTTCCAATAAATAGGGTCTCTGATTCTCTACACTTCCCATATGAAACAGCAGTATTAAGCTGCTATTCTACACTAGTGTTCCGTGAAAGCGCGGCCTTTCCCCAGTTAAGCCGATCCATTCATGCTAAACCATAATATATTTCCAGCATGGCTCTACTTTGAATACGGACTTTTGACGGGCTGTGGTGATCAAGATATGATTATAGAGGAATGAGAACGCATGATAAAGCTGGAGCCGTTGTAGCTTAGGAGTAAGTGCTCACTTTGAAATTTATAGGATGTGAACAGTTTGATCTCCGCTGGTAACACTGATATTGTTAACAGCAATTGTATGTGCTCTGTTACCACATGCTCGTCGGTAGAGGAAACATTGTAAAGAAATTAACAAAATTTAAAAGAAAATTCGGGTAGAGTTTCGTTCTAGGGACACCTCCAATTACTCCGAAAATTGTTTACCAACATAAATGATGAAAAACCCCAAAGAGATTTTTGGCGCAAATGCCCTTGAAATTGTTTACGAAGGTTTGAAGTTTTAGATTTTTAAGGCAGTTTTTCATGATAAATCGACTAAACCTCACTTTTTACACTTGAATATTGACCCAAAATTACTTCTACTACGGCTTCGGCGCTGCGGGAAGTGCAGCCTCTTCACCCTTGCGTAGTGAATCACAGGCACCCATGCTCACCACCTCCGATTTGGTCCAAATTGGAGGTGTCCCTAGAACGGAACTATATCCGTAAAGTCAGTTGGTAGGCAGATTGGTGAACTCAGTATTTGACTCTGCCCTTCGTCGCCGTTCTGAGTATGATGCGCCTACCCTAGAGTAAACGAATTGGTACACGATATTTCGGAAGTTAAATCACCATCACACAGTATAGCGACGGCGTTTAGTAGTTCATCCTCCAATTCATGAAATCGGTTAGTTGGAATAGTTGAACCAGTATGCTGGTAGGAATAGAAATAAGAATTATCCTCTTTCAAGGGATCGCCAGACAGTTGGCGCTTGTCACTAATGGGGCTGGGGATGTGTGTGCTTTCTTATAGCTCTGCCAGTATGCCGTGAAAACACCATGGTTAGAGTAAGAGAAGTAGACATTTTTCATGGAAAAACTGAATTTTAATTGGTAAATTAGGAGACATACCTTTATAGTTCTCGATTTTGACGGTAGATGTTCCTCGATCGCCTTGTGGGCTCTAGTTTCACAGAACTTGCCCACCGCCACTATTGTCTGCACTTTATATAGCTCTAAAACCCTTATGAAGGTCTGATCGCAAATTTCATATAAAGCTTTCATTTCTGACACCTACAATAACAAAGAACAAAACATTGTGTATACACATTTGCTCAATTTTTATCGATCGTCATGTGCGATCAAACCTTTGCTCCATATATCAAACAGAACCGAGTAAATGTTAAGGTAGACCCTGTACGATCGACGTTATTTTAGATGACTTTATACATCTATAGATTGTTTTGGCAAATGAGAGTTCAACAAGCGAATCAATCAAGTGTTTATTCCACATGTGCAAGTGCATAATACAACTAAGGCTGCGGCAGTGATAATTGTCGTCGACCAATATTTAACCTCAACATTGTGTCAACCTTTGATAGGGTTTCAATTGTTCACAGGCAGGCAGCTTAAAAATATTTTATATACCTATTTTGAACTTATTTAATTTTGTCTACTCTTGGCAAGTGTGTTTGTGTGTACAGGTTATCTATTTTCAGAACTTGCAAAGCTACAAACATAATATTTTAATCAAAATAGTATATAGTATGCAGTAACAGCTTATTTTGAGATGTTTTGAGATTTTTACTGGCATCATTTTAGAAAATAAGGAACTTAATTTCCGACAAGTTTTTCTGAATACACATGTAGGCGTGGAGTAAGAATTTCCACTACCGCTTATCATCCTGTGGGTGTTGCAGGAAGCGATAGAGGAAGAAAAATTGGGAGACAGGACCAAGAGGTAAGCAGCAGCGTCTTCTTAATAATGACTAAAAATAAAAAAACTGTGGTTGCCACTTTTTACTGGAAAAGAGGCAACCACTTACCATCAGGTGGATTGTGTACTCATTTGTCACCCTATCCTATTAAAAAAAACTGTGGTTGCCAAGCGTGACAACTGTGGCAAATATCCTCCATGAGGCAATTTATGAGGGAGGCCTATGTTCAGCAGTGGACTTTAAGAGGCTTTAACGGAACTATTCTGCCTAGCAGCCTGTCGCCACTGGCGTTGGTATCACCATCTTATGTCTTCCTGATCTTCCTGTGGTTTTTGCCACCACAGCTATAGCTTGTTTGACGCTCAAATAAACAATAATAAAATGTTATCATGGTGGATATCAGCCAGGTCAAACATTTGCCACAATTTTTTTCTGATAAGTTCTAGGAGCCGCTTAACGCAACAGTGAACTGCGTGAACATGTGTTGTACCCAGTGCAATGAATTCCTTGTTCGTTTAGAAGTTGTAACCGCGATCGTTGATAATGAAGTCCGGGGTTCGAATTCCGGGTCATGCCAGAATCAGTAGCAGCCAAAAGTCGGAAAGTTGGCGGTGTTTCCAGCGTGCCTCAGAAAACACGTAAAGCCGTTGGTCCTGCGCCTGATCTTTCTCCGGTTGCGACAGATTACCGTTCCATCGGTCTTGGACTGAGAGTGAGGGAGCAGAGAGTGCTCCGGTGTTTGCACATACACTTGAGCTGGCTAGTCTACGTTGAGACTGGCCACCGTGACCGAAATTCGGTTGTCCTCTCGACATAAAAACAATGAAATTACAACATAAAAATATTAATTACTTTGAAGTCGCCAGGTGTAAGATTGCATCCATTGCTCTTCATCCATTGTTGATTTAAATAGTTGTAGACAAAACTTGTTTCGAAAAACTTCTCTGGTGTACCACAGATTTCTTTAAGCAAGCCCCAAAACCTTTTGCCGCTTATCTGCCAATAAAGTTTGTCATTTTTTTTAAAACACACATACCTGTTCTCTCCGGTATGTAAAAATAATATGACAATGTAATATTATACATGACCAAAACAATAAGGCGCATGACAGCTAAGACGTCTCTAGAACTATGGAGGGAACACCGGAATGGTGATTGGGCACTAGGAGAAATGCGGGAATAGGGGTGGGGTGCATACCTGTCATGCGCCTAATTGTTTTGGCCAAGTTGTATATTGATCATCAGTAAAAAATATACTCATATATACCACTAAGACTGTTATAAACCAATCCACAACTTTTTCTGTCACCAGGGCAGTGTCGCTTAGGAATGAGGTGAAATATTTGGCAGATTTCATAGCAGGGGGAAGTTAATTTGTTAGAAAAGTGTAGAGATTAATGTTTCTTTCTAAAATATTTGGTATATTTATATTAATAAGATTAGAAATTGATAAACCAAATTACTGATATTCCTAAAAGAAATAAAAAAAAGTTAAAAATGTGTAAAAAAATTAAAGGCTATAGCACTAAGTGATTGTTTTGTATACATATATACATACGCTAGAAACGAAACAACTTTTAATTCAATTGAAACTTTTCAATCATGATGACACTGTGTGTACCATCTACGTAGGTAACAAATAAGTCCACCTTAGTCCTAACTAGTGACATCTGGTGAGCATAAGATTATTCAACCTGATTTTGAATGTATAGCATTTACATTAATTTGCAGCACTCTTGAAGTTCTAAAGTAAACTTACAGCCTAAACTGCAAAACATAGGCCATCCACTGTCACATATAATTATTTTTCAGCTATACATTTTTTTTTATAGACATAAAGTAACAAACGAGCACACAGCCCACCTGATGGTAAGTTGTTGCTGAGGCCCATAGACATCTACATGTCTCCTCACTTGCAAATCAAAATGCAGATGCGTTGTCACCCGTGAGGACTAAGTTGATATGCCTCTTTTCCAGCAAAAAGGGTTTCTGTTTCTCTACACTCACCATACGAAACACAGCAGCATTAAGCTACTATTTTATGCCAGTATTCTGTGAGAGAGTGGTCCTTCCCCGGTCGAGCCGACCCATTCGTGCTACAACTATACTATAAATATAGCTGTAGCTTGGTTCTACCACGTGCATGTTTCCTAATGGTGTTTACTTTAACTGCCAAGCTTGTGATGTCAATAGGTAAAGTTCTAAAGTTGCTTGTGTAATATTAAAATTGCGAGCGCCTAGCCCCTGAGCTACCACAGCACTTGTTGCTCCTTAATTGACTAGCAGGATCATCCCCCTTATTAAACTGTTGCTTTGACTGCTTTGTTAGTCTAGTACTCGAAAGCCCTACTGCTGATCATGTCAAGCAGGTTCTGCAAGACAACAAGCTTCATATCCCGCGCCTATGTCAAAATGACAAAATAAAGCCGGCCATAGTCGAACGTGTGCCTGCTGGACTACCATATGTCACAGGAAATCACAGACAAGGTTGGCTACGTCTTGAAGCAAGCATCTATTAGAACATTCTACAAGCTGCTGAAGAAGAGTCAGCTCTTACCATCCATCAAGTGTAATATGACATACAAGATACAGACTTCAAGACACAGTAAGTCCATTCTGCATAGATAGGACCAAAAGTAATAATTAAAACACAAGTATTACTTAGCCACTATATTCTACTCTTTACGAGAGTGAGTGTCAAAATATATCATTTAATAATAAAAAACTTAACATACAAAAGTATGAATTCATGATTTACCTCAGTCCTTGTGCATGCAAAACCTCTAACAGGACGTGATTCTACTTCTTTAGGTGGTTTACCAACTGGTCCTTCTATGCCTAACCAGTCTCTCACTGAACTCACTTCACCAAAAGGTACCTAAATATAATTTTATTTTTAAGTAAACAATCCAAAATAATCAAAAACAAAACCAACTAAGGAAAATGCTATGAAAAATAATTAAGGTACGTTGGGGTAATACCGGACGGATTTTCGAATAGTTGGAAGAGTCTGCCAAAAACTTTAATTTCTCGACATTCGTATACGTCAGATTTATGGAACATGGAGCAAACCGCTAATCGTTAAACGTAGTTTAGCTCTGAGAATCTTTTGCTTGTGTAAACTCAACGGTTTCTGCTTTAAAGGTGTGCGAAAACTAGACATACTTTTTTATATGCATAATGAAAAATTGGCCATTAAGGGGTAAGACCGGACTTAAATTTAAAACCACTTCTACTGCTTAGAGAAAAAAGTTTATAAAAGAGATTTGTCCTATCTTTAACGCTTAAAAACATATTTCAATATGATCTATAAATTACTAGAAACATAAATGTTCCAAACGATTTTCTCTTTTATTGTTTCTTGCCATCCGATCTTATCCCTGATATAAAGAAATTGTAATTTTATGTTTCTCAAACTTTGTTATGACATAAGATGGAATTACTCAATATAAGAGAAAGATCGGATGCATTTGATTTTATATGGGAAAAAAAAATAACAGTAAGGACTGGCCAAATGCCCTGGGATAATGCAGGAGTTAAGGAAGATATAAATATTTTAACAAAGCGGCATTTATTATTATAAATTATTTTTTAAATAATTATTATAAATTACATTTTGATTTGTAATAGAGGATAGATATAGATGTCTATGGGCCGCAGCAATCACTTAACATCAGGTGGACTGTGTGCTCCTTTGTCACCCTTATCCTATAAAAAAATGTATTTTAATGTAAAAGTAATAAAACCATCGTATTATTTTATTACTTTTAAATATACAGACTTGCTAACGAGACTGAGTCCTATAGTCACTTGAATAATCAACGAAAAAATATAAACGACCAATGAAAGTTTAACAACCACTGACATATTTGTAACAGGCAAAGATCGGATAATATTCATCCGATCTTCACTCACGAGGGGAAACATCGGATCTCGGCCTACAGCGATCTTAGCCCTGCATGGACCAGCTTTATTTAGCTATAACTTCATAAAAATTAGTATCCACACAAAATAATAACAAAAGAAGCCATATTCTCGCTAAAAATCGTAAATAAAAGTGATAGGTAAAGATCGGATGGACAAAAATAATACAAAAATTACATTGTTTTATAAAATGCCACGCAGCACAGGTCCCACTTGCCGGAGTGACTGGCGCGAACTGAGGGTCGGGGCAGGATGAAATGACGTCGTGTAGCATATTGTTAGCTTTTCAAAATATAGCATAATTCGCCGGGAATTTGAATTCTACGGTCTTGCCCCATCACCGATCTTACCCCAACGTACCTTATATAGTCAATTAGAAAACAATTATTTGTAGGGTGTAAAATACACCTTGTGTAAGAGTAAAATTTTATTCTAGACAGGTAACAAATCAACATAAAAAGTAAACATTAAGCTGGTTTGGTACCAAGCTATCATATTTTGAGTGAGAAAATTCTACTTACTACTGTTAGGTAAAAATGAGTTTTGTGCAAGAACAATCTTTAGGTGCTCTACTTCTATATAGTAAAACAATGGCAACTTTTCCTGTTTTTCTATTACTATGTTAGATATATCTATGTAAAAATGTATTTGTATTACTATGTTAGATAGAGATATATATATGTAAGAATTTGATCAAAACACACCCCATTATATTTATGCTTATCAGTTAATTGTTATTTTTCCTGAGGGGCATGGTATGGGCGCATAAATGTTTTCCTCCAAAAAAAAAAAAGTAAACAGGGTAAAAGTACATTATAAAAATAAATTTGGTCTATCCTTACTCCAGTCTGCGACATTCCAAACGGTCCTGGATTCATACCAAAATACATGATTGGTTTAATCGAATTACAATATTTCCGAACATACATCTCGAATGTATATCTTGCGTATATTGTTGGGTTATAAACGCATTTTACGGCTGAAGGAAGTTCGAACTTTTCAAGCTTGTTGTTGAGTTCATCAATTAAAGAAAAAAAATTATCACATAAACCATCCTCGTTTCTATTGCTTTCATTTGATGAATTTTCCAAAAAAAACGTCGACACTACTTCCCTTTCTTTGTACTCCATAATTTCACTTATGATATAATTTAATTAAAGACCTTTGTATTTAAATGTACTTTATTAGGTATACTAGTTTTTGCTACCATTTTTAAATTCTTTACCGCCCGCCATAACGCCATTTCAAACAAAAACAATAATATTAGGCTTAATTTAGATTTTTGGCTTGGATGCTTGTATTTTAAGCCATCTCTTCATTTCATTCAAGATCTTGGTTTATGTAAATTTTCAGTATGAAGTGATAACAATCCTTTATAGTACACTGCTTCACAATATGTTGATATGTCATATTGCGTAGTTTTTGGGAGATTTTAACAACTTAAGCCAGCACACAGTTGGCGATAGTATCTCAAGGCGCCTAAGCACACTGACATCTTATCTTGAGATTCACATCACCATCGCAGAACTTGTTTCACCGTTTGCCCTAAAAGTTCATATGCACAGACATTTAATACACAAAATGGCACCACTTTTATATATTTGAAGGCTCCATGGCGCAGTGACTTAGAAATGAGTTGCAGCGCTAAGGGACGCGGGTTGGAATCCCGCATGACACAAGTATTTCTATGGTCTACAAATAATTGCTCCGGGTCTGAATGTTTGTCCTTGTCAAATTTATGTATGTAAACTACCCCCACGACACAGGAGCACGTTGGGAACCAGTTCGCAAACGTACTGAACAGGGCTGTCCAAAATAGCCTCCTGGCTTAGAAATTACTTGCTTACGCTTAATGACCAAAAAACTAACTACGTGTGCTTTATCATCAATAACAGGACCCAGCCACAAAATGATTTTAACACGTTAGCTGTCCAGTGCACCGAATACAGTACACGTCGCATGGGTTCGTCACGTCCGTGTACCGTAAACGGTACACGCGCCCTTATCTCTTTCTATAAGCTCTAACTTCATGGACTTCTCAGTTAGTTTGCTCTATTTGCCAGGACTTGTCAATAGAGCACTAATAAAAAGAAAAATCGTAAAAAATTCAATTTTTTTCTATATGTGGGTGGTTGAAAAAAATAAAAATGTTCAATAAGAAAATGGCTTTATTTATGTAATAGAGTTTCAGAAAAACACTGGAGACAATAAGTTTTTACATTTATTACAGTGCGTTGTCTCTCTTTTAGCTTTTGCTCTTGCAGTTTTTGGAAGACTTCCAAGGTCAATAAGTTTTTTATAACACCCAACGCAACGTCTTCGTATAGATATACCCCTTACTTCGCCTATGGGTTCTATAAAATGTGAGCTCTTATTGGATCCCAACAGTGTACTTGAGGATGATGAAGACAAGCTTGCAAATGGCATTTGTCTCACTAATTCGGATGAACGCGAAGTTCTCGGCTTTTTTTTGGTTCAATTTTCAACAATCTCTTCACGATTGCTTCATTTGCTGCAAAAACGTTGTATATTTCTTTTTTTTTTCAGGATGTAAGTCATTATAAAATATCTGTCATTAAAAATCGTTCCTGATTTGTTCGTCGTCAAAGAATTGCATATTTATCATATATTTCATCATTTTCCAATTATTATTCACACCATAATGATTGGCGCACTAACGGCCAAAATTTGAAAGTTTTGAAGTTGAGATGTCACTATTTTATCTTGTATCAATGTCAAATAATTACAACAAACAAGAATATGAATAGAAAAACTGTTTTTTAAACTCGCTGTTCACAAATCCACGGTATACGCTAAGTTTACTCGCTACTTCAACTCCAAAAGTCCGTGTACCGAATACGGTACACGATCAAAAGGTAAGGAAAACCGAATAATTAGTTATTTATGTAGTCTAATTATCCAAAATTAGTAATTTTTAATCAATTTGACACAGAATAATACAAATATTGATTTGGACTTTGTACTTGTCCAACCATATACAAAGTATCGACTATTAAGTATTTAGTTATAATCATAGACGTTTAAAAAAATAAGATTAAAAATAATAATATTAAAATCCACTGCAAACCATTATTTAAACAATAATACAGGAGCAGTGGTATCAATACGGTAGAGCCATGCTGCAGCTATATTAATAGTAGTTGTAGCATGAATGGGTCGGCTTGACCGGGGAACGACCATGCTCTCACAGAATACCAGCTTCAAATAGCAGCTTAATGCTGCTGTTTTTGGTATGGTGAGTGTAGAGAGTACTGGAAACGAGGCAATCCATCTTAGTCCTCACGGGTGACAACGCATCTGCATTTTGATTAGCAAACTGGGATAGATATAGATGTCTACGGGCCACAGCAACCACAGCAACCACTTACCATCAGGTCGACTGTGTGCTCACTTGTCACCCTAATCCTAATAAAACCACCCTAATCCTAAAAAAAGCACTAATCCGAGACCGGTCAAGCTCCCGCCAAAACTACAAAACCAATAAATTCAAAGGTAAAACCTCAGAGTACTTCAGTTTAAAAACACCATACTCACCACAAAGTACCTTTATAGACACAGAAAACAAACACTCAAAAGATGAGAGCAAAGAGAATATAATCACTACGTAAGAGGGTAAGATGTTTTGTCAGAGTAATTACTAGCATAGAGGAAATCCTAAAATAAAAAGAAAATTCTTGTAGTTAACTCCTTGTGCCTATGACCTTTTACGGGGTATAAAATATAAGTTTCTATGTCTAGTTACTAGTTAGTTATATCAGTTACTCGATTCCAAAGAGTCAGTAATTCCTTTATGGGGCAATGCTAAAATCAATGCAAATCTGCATTGCTTTGCATATAAGTGCTAGCGCAGTTATTATCCTACTAAAAAGTACATGATTGATAATAACCAATTAAGTTATTATCAATCATGTGACTGTAATGGGATTAGGTGACCGGTACTATGCTGTATCTAATGTCTTCATACCAATTGTATAAAATAATACCGGGTGTTTGTGAAACGCTCCCGAAAACGAAGACAGGCGATAGTACTAATTATGCCCTTCATGATGGGTGAGAAATTAAATCGTGAGAAAAAAAAAACATCTTTTCACAACGTTTTATTAGCTTTCATCATTATGTTCGTACAGCTAAATGAAACGATAATTTCATAAAAAAAATGAAAATACTTAATCATAAAACCAGCAGTGGAATTACAATCAGCTGACTAGGTCAATGTACGCCCGGACGCCGAATCTGCGCGGTCCGCAGCTAGCGGTGGTACTACAATACCTAATAATTTACAACACTTGTCTACATACCTGACTTATCTACTTAACCTACTATTTTGCCACTGTGCCTGTCTCCACCTAGCCACTTTATACACAAGTTAAATAAACCAAATACCTGGTTCGATTCCCCGCTAATAAAAAAATTACTTAAATGAAATGTTAACAAGGTTAAAGTTATGCTTTTTTATCTATCGTATTATTATTTTTAATGTTTTGATGTATTCAGGATGAGTTCAGTACATAGATATTTAAAAAAAATTAGGTATGAAACAGCTTACTGATCTAAATCCTAAGTATAAGATTCTCCACGGCACATTAACATGTTGCCGTATTCACAAGCACTATAAACGGACCTACGCGTTAGGCATTATTAAAACAAAACAAGAAAAACAAAACGTAACAACAAGAATGTAATAAACAAAACGAATGAACCGTCGCTCACGCGCACGTGATAGTCAACACGGAACTGTCTCAAAAACTAAAATTAATAATCAACCCCGCCAAAACAAATGCGCACAAGGTTTTTCAAATTCGTCCTTTAAGCACTGAGCACTTCGTCAGACCGTAAAACCCTTACGACATTGCCAACGCTTACTTTATATATAAGTTTAGTTATCCCTACGACTAGTCTTCATGTGGAATTTAGAAGTTATGGTTGTAATTTTTAATACAATTACACAATCAATTGTTCCCTGACGCAACAAGCAGTTCTTTACTACAAAAATTATATTGAAATTAATAAACGTACCTAATTGGGTACTCAGTACTCACTTACACAATTGTAAACACTATTTCATCGTTATCTTTGATTTTGTATAAGAAAATAGAAATGAAATGGTACTGAATAATTTAAAAGTTAAAATCAATTGCAATTATGATCGACAGTTAATTAATCAGATTAAACGTAAAAAATAATACTTTTACTTTATTTTAATTGACTTTTCGTATTTAATCCGACCAATACTTTGAATTTAAAAAGAGGTAAGTCAAAATTATTAAAAATTACTTGAAAGTTTTATAGTGATTGCCGCCTCTAATTCTTATGTCGCCGGCAAACTAAATTTCGGTGCAACAATTTGACAAAGTGGTGTTGGCAACGCTACCATTGCCAACACCAATTTGTCAAATTAACCGAAAACTCGTGTCAAATTCCCCAATTTAAGGACAAAACTTCAACAGATTCCCTACAAATTCCCCTCAATTAAAAAATATAGAAATGAAAAGCATTAAATGGTACACAAAAGACGCAGAAAAAAAGCAAAAATTGAATTTGGTGCAATGAAGATAGTTAAAAAACGGGAGTCATTCGATATTAATAAGTAACCTAACAAAATGTTAAAATAAGTATTTATATCTCTTGAAAAAAGGTTCTGACTTGGCCTTGGCTATCGATTTTCAAAATCCCTGTATTTTCCCCATAAAATAAAATAAATAAAAACCCCAACCAACTTTAAATTCCCCGCAATTTTGATAATTTCCCACATGTTGGCAAAATTGATCACACTCTTAATCTCATGGCTGTTAGACGGGAGATGAAGCTACATTCTTCAACAGATTTGACAGCATACAGGCAACTGAACAGACAGATCTCCAAATGCATGCGGCGGGACTTACGCAACTTCAATACAGCTTGTATTGAAGAAGCGATCGAGCGGAACCAAGGCTCCAAAGCTTTTACCAGAGATCTGTCTGCCAGAAAGACCCAACTGTCAAAGCTGAAGACCGAGTGTGGCAGCATCGTTTCCGGGGCACCTGAGATTTTGGGTGAGATTGAGAGGTTCTATAGACAGCTGTACACGTCATCGTTGGAGCCACACGCAAGTGTGAGTAACGATCCAAGAGCGAGTCTTATCCGACACTATTCCGAAGATATCCCGGACGTCAGTCTATGCGAGATTAGAATGGCTTTCCAACATCTTAAAAACGGCAAGGCCCCAGGCGAGGATGGAATTACAGCGAAGCTTCTGAAAGCGGGTGGAAAACCGGTACTGGAAGTCCTTCAGAGGCTCTTTAATTCCGTCCTCCGTGGTGGCATTACACCGGAGGCGTGGAGCAGAAGTGCGGTGGTCTTGTTCTTCAAGAAAGGTGACAATGCTCATTTGAAGAACTACAGATCGATTTCCCTTCTGAGCCGCATCTACGTGCTGTTTTCGAGAGTCATTACGAATCGTCTCGCACGCAGACTTGACGACTTCCAGCCTCCCGAACAAGCCGGTTTCCGAAAGGGCTTTAGCACCATAGACCACATACATACCCTTCGGCAAGTTGTACAGAAGTCCGAGGAGTACGAGTACAATTTGCCACCATGCCTGGTGTATGTGGACTATGAGAAAGCCTTTGATTCCGTCGAAATTTGGGCGGTACTGCAGTACCTTCAGCGGTGCGAAGTTGACTGTCGGTATATCGAAGTGCTGAAGTGCTTGTACAGTAGAGCTACGATGGCTATCCTAGTACAGAACCAGAGTACGAAACCTATCCAATTGCAGAGAGGTGTAAGACAGGGTGACGTTATATCCCCGAAACTCTTCACCGCTGCATTGGAAGACGTTTTCAAGCTTCTGGACTGGAAAGGATACGATATTAACATCAATGGCGAGTACATCACTCACTTTCGATTTGCCGACGATATAGTCCTTACGGCAGAATCGCTGGAGGACCTAAGCACTATGCTCAATGACCTCAATAGTGTATCCCAATGGATAGGTCTTAAGATGAACATAGACAAAACAAAGATTATCTTTAATATCCATATCACGCCTATGCCGGTAGTTGTTGGGAGCACTAAGCTCGAAATTGTTGACGAGTATGTTTACCTGGGACAAATGGTCTGACTAGGTAAGTCCAACTTCGACCGAGAGGTCAATCGACGGATTCAACTCGGCTGGGCAGCGTTCGGGAAGCTACGACACATCTTCTCGTCAGACATACCTCAAAACCTTAAAACGAAATTGTACAACCAGTGCGTGTTGCCAGTGATGACTTACGGAACTGAGACGTTGTCCTTCACTGCTGGCCGTATGAGGAAGCTCAAGGTCGCTCAGCGAGCTATGGAGAGGGCTATGCTCGGAGTTTCTCTGCGTGATAATTTTAGGAATGAGGATATCCGCAGTAGAACCAGAGTAACCGACATAGCCCAACGGATTAGTAAGCTGAAGTGGCAGTGGGCCGGCCATATAGCTCGAAGAACCGACAACTGATGGGGAAGAAAGGTTCTTGAGTGGCAGCCTCGTACCCGTAGGCGAAGTGTATGGTGACCCCCCACGAGATGGAGTGACGACCTGGTAAGACATGCAGGAAGTCGATGGATGCAGGTGGCTCAGGACCGTGCTTTGTGGCATTCCTTGAAGCCTATGTTCAGCAGTGGACTTGTGAAGGGCTGTAATGATGATGATGATAATGATGGCAAAGTTGACATGTGTAAATTCCACAGCGCGAGGCGACACGAGCCGGCCGGGCGACAGTAGCGCGTGCGTGAAGGAGAAGGGTAGAGTCAGTAGGTATTGTTTCGTACTGAGCTATATACATAAGAGTTCGGTGTCCCCGAGAATATTGACCCTATTGTCAGCTGATTTTATGATTTATTTATTTTAAATTTCACTGCTGGTTTAATGTTTAAGTATTTTAATGATTTTTTTAATGGAATTATCGTTTTATTTAGCTGTACCAACATGATGGAACGTGAGTAAAGCTAATAAAACGTTGCGAAAAGATGTTTTTCTTTCCTCAGGATCGATTTTATTTCTCACCCACGATCTAGTAGTTAGTACTATTGTCTGTCTTCGTTTTCGGGAGCGTTTCACAAATATTCGGTATATTGTAAATTGATTTTATTTAAAAAGTCCCACTGGGTTTCTTGCTAGTTCTTCCCAGGACAGAGGTTTTTTTCGAACCAGTTGTAAAAATTAAAAAATGATTTTCAATTAGTATTCTTGCCTAATCTATAATGAACAAAAATGATTCTATTCTATTTAATTCTATGCTGGAAGCAAACCTTCTTTCTTTAATGCAACGTTTAGATACTTGGAGCTTGAGGCAGAAAAGCTTGAGCTTGAGCACAGAAGATTAGTTACGAGTACGAATATGTTGCCTTGTTCGGGGGTGCTCGCTACTCGGCCCGAGTATTCGCCTGTTCTGCACTCAATGAACGCGTAGTGTTTCTATATAGTTTGTGACTCAATGTCGGTTTTTCAGCACGAGTCAAGGAAAGTTTGTGTGTATTCGTATCGGTGCTTACATACTCGTCATTATGCACTTGAACTGTGAACTTTGTCGCAGGTGGTTATTATTTTTCTTATAAAATAATAATAATATATTCTTGCATATAAAAACACAGATTGATTTTTTTTTAATGAAGGCCATTAGTCAAAAAATTTTACGAACTTAAACCAAGCAAAATTGAAAGATTTGTAATAACGACAATCGCTAGGTATTTGAGTAGGGCTTTCGCACTCCGTGATGGCCAATGGGATAATGAACGTTGAAATTGAACGTGTGAAGGTAATCTATGGTGTGAAGCCAGCCGCCTTCCTTATACTCGTAAACTAGTAAGAAGTAAAGTAAAAAAGTAAAGTTGCAGCCTATTTACGTCCCACTGCTGGGCACAGGCCTCCTCTCATTTCTGAGAGGGTTTTAGGGCAAGGAAATGTTCGCCGCGCTGCCCTATTGCGTGTTGGCGAACTTCACATGTCTTCGAAATATATTTTTTTCTTATTTCACAAACATGCAGGTTCCCTCACGATGTTTTCCTTCACCGCCGAGCACGTGGTAAATCAGCACTTAAAATTGCAATTAACAATTTTATTGGTGCCGGCGGGGATCGAACCCGGGTTGCTCGAGTACTGTGAAGCTTACAGCGAGCGCTAACCATTTGAGCTACCACGGCTCTCTTAAGTAAGAAGTGCTAGCGCATATACCAAGCATATACCTTATACCTTATATAGCCCGCTGCGGTGTTGCTATTCTTGATTTAGATTTTCTTCTAACAATATCATATAATACTAAATAATAAAAATACCTACCTACTGTGATGATTTGGAATAACGAATTCACTATTAAATTTATAGAATTTTACTAAGGAGAACCCGTGATACGGTATCCTAAAAATCAGTTTTATATAAATATTTGTAACACTAAAAATATATTATATAAAGTAAATATAAAATCGTAGCAACGAGACGCACGTCATCCATGTTTAAAAGATCTACGTTGCATGAATACAAACGAATATGTAAATGCATCGTATTCGTCCATGAATAACTCGGCGAGTTGCTCGTCCGATAATCTAATAAACAAGCCTTTTTTCATACCATTCACTGATGTGACATTAGTGCATAAATAAAGAATTACGATTTGACTATTAAGAAATGCAAGGGTCTTATACTATACAGCTATTTCTGATATGTATTTTGGACAGAAAACTCAAATTGCAAAGTTCTTGGGAGATTTTGACGACAGCTTAACTCAGAGGACGGTTATGACGATAATATCTCAGTCTATTAGTGGATAATCAAGGCATTTGTTACATCATCATCCACTTATAGTTCACGTAGGCAGACATTTAAATTTAGTACACAAAATCGCATTATTCAAGGCAGTTTGCATAATGTAGCCTAGGGAGTTTCGGCGGAATTTGAGGTCATGTTTATGGGGAAAAAATTCATTAATATGGTTACACTGATCACTGACACTGTTTTAGGCAGAGATAAAGAAGTTTCAGAATTTCAGTAGAATATCCTATATCTATGGATTCAGAATTTCAGTTGTCAGTTGTCAGAATTTAGATAAGTATTCAGGGTTTCAATTTTCAGGGCTATAAAAACGCCTGCCTTCACCTTCACTTTAACGTTTGTCGGAATTACTTTTTGCCCGTTTAAATTCAAACCTTTCAGACTCTAAAATCAAAATATCGAAGAAATCGAATTTTGAATATTTAAATGTGAATGTGTTTGTGTTTAGTTAGAGATTAGTCTGCTTTACTTTATTGTATTCGTAGATTTGTATATTGAATTAAACAAGCGTCATTATACCACTAGGACCTCTAATAATTATAGGAGATTTTTTTCCTGATAGGACTACATATTAAGCTTTAATTTCGGTGTCATAATATATATTTTTATTCCAATACCTCAGAGTACAATCTAGACTCTTGAGTCTAATAATTTAATACACCGTAGTTTATAGACGCCGTCAAAATTGCTTTCTACTCGAAATATAACGGAAATACTCCCACCATGGCTAAGGTAAGCAAGGAGCAACCAGTTTTTACCTCATTGTAAGCATATTTACATACCTGTCAATTATCAGACAGTTCACACTTGTATCTTGTGGAAGTTGATTACATCTTACAACTTTATTATACTTGAAAATAATACTGACATCTGCTGTTAAGCATGAGTGGAAACAATAAAGAAAAGGTAGATCCTGTAATTAAAATTATACTAATTGGTTGTATTCATCTAGTGTTATATTCCAAGGTGGAACTGACCCCTGAAAAGTAATTAAATTTATAGAGTGGAATTTAATATGTTAATTACTGTGCTGTAAATGATTTTGTTATATCAAAGTGTATTTATGTGAAATTAAGTGTGTAAGTAATTTTTGTTTGGTAGTTCAATATCCTGGGGTGGGTACAGCTCTCCCGGCCCCACCCTAATTATTAATAGACATAATCTAGTTAATTCCAGTTAACATAAAAAATAAATATACACATGCTACTATGGCTATTAACATTTTTCTATATGCCAAGGTCAACACGTAGCTTTATTGAGCAAAGCATGATTCTTTCTTGTTAAACCCGTTTATTTTAATTTACTTCTGCATTATATAACTATGAGTTATTGTAAGTGGATACATATTTTCGTTTACATAGTAAATTAATTATTTTTCCACACTATGTGTATTATATTTAATGATTGAAATATTGTCAAAAATAAGCATCATTTATCACCACTCATAAATAATACAAAATCTACTAGACAGGCATTTCTATCAATGCAGTGAATATACTCTAATCATCACACATGGTAGGCAGATTGTTGACATCTTTGGTGTGGCTGTTTAGACCAGTGAGTCCATCATTATCTTACTAGTGTACTACTCTACTCTAAGATGTTTCCTTTTACCATTAGGCGTTAGATGTTTGTAATTTATCTGATCCATAACCATTTAATCTTGTTACTTCATTTGTTCATTACATGTTCTGAAAATAAAGATAACACAAAACACTGAAAATAAAAATAATCTCGACACGCACTTACCATGGATAGGAATAAGTATAAAAATGAAATAGGCATATTGGTTTATTAATTTATTGAAATGCTACTAATGTGAGCATAGTGGGGGGGGGGGGAGTATTTAAAGCTGGTATATTAGAAATTCTCAGTAGCTGCCCGGAGTCAGAAAGTTGGCGGTATCTCACCCCCGTGCCTCGGAAAGCACGTAAAGCCATTGGTCCTGCGCCTGATCTCTCCCCAGTTGTGTCGGTTTACCGTCCCATCGGACTATGAGAGTGAGGGAATAGAGTCTCCATTGAAACTTAAGGACATTATTATTATTAGCTCTAGAGCCACTAGTGTCTGGTTTCCATGATAGCTATCCGTGCTACGCTATTGAGAGGCACTGGGAGAAAACATTCAATTTCGCTACTTACCATTGATTATTTATATAAGTAGGTGTGATAAATATGATAACACAGTCTACCTGATGGTAAGCAAATGCTGTGGCCCATTCAAACCTACAGTTATCACCAATTAAATATCAAAATACAGATGCATCATCTTCAAGGACTAAGATGAAATCATCTCGTCTCATTAAAAGTAGTTGCTTAGTTTGACATACGACCCGAATGGAATAGGTGTGTGTTCTTATAAGAATTTGTGATTGTCATTCTGCCATTTAAATAACTCTTATAATTTTCTGTTAATTTCAGCCAGTGCTTTACTCATACTGGCGTAGCTCATGTTCATGGAGGGTAAGGATAGCTCTCAACCTGAAGGAGATTCCATATGACATTAAAGCTGTGAGTCTCATCAAAGGTGGAGGGGAACAACACTGCAATGAGTACAGGGAAGTCAATCCAATGGAACAAGTGCCATCACTGTGTATTGGTAAGCTGTTTATTAATATCTCAACCTAGCAGAGCAGATTTCTTCAACTTGCAGTAGACTATTTGTTTATTATCTAATAATAAAGGATCAAATAATAATTATTCATGTACAACAAGTCAAGCTCAATTAAACATAATATGTGTATAGAGTTCTGGTAAGTTACATATAATTTAAAAGACAAGATTTGTCACTTCCTTAATATCTAGATTCCTTAGTTCCTTATTAATTTTTGATGCTTGAACCACAGGACTGAAGATAATCATAGAGTGTTATACATTAATTTAATACAGAGTTATTTTACAATAACCGGCAAAATTTGAATAAATGTCAATAATTCAGCCCTTTTTATCTTTTAAATTCAAAATGCATGGTAACACATTATTTTGACTGATTTTACTGCACACACACATATTTGTAAGGGTCGATCGGTAGGCAAAAATTTTACTGCCCATAAATTACATTCGTTTTGGGGTAATTACAAATAAAAGCAGAAGCCTTATTTTCTTGTATTTTTAAAAACTGCAGTAATGGTATATCATTATTTAGATATTTGAACTTAAGTTTAAAATTTGGCTACTCTTTGAAAAATAACCCTATATAAAACAATGTGTCATATTCCCTTGTATTATGGTGTTTAAAAGTTTTAGTTTAAGCATTGTAAGTATTACTTATACTTACTTCTATGTAGTTCCTCAATTTATTATTATTTTTTAGATTTTGCCATATTTCCTTTTATTTTTATATATCCTTTAAAGTTTTCTAGTTAGCTCTCTGTTCTTTTTTGGTTTATATTTGGTAATTTGTGTATGTCTAATTAAGCAGCAACTCCTTCATGGAAATCTGAGCTGGTTATACTATATGAAATTTAATTGTTGTAAAGTAAGCTGTTAGTGTATATGTTGAATAAAGAGAAATACATTCTTATTCCAGATGGACATACATTAATAGAATCTTTGAGCATAATGCACTATCTGGAAGAGACAAGACCACAAAGACCGCTAATGCCGCAAGACTGCATCAAAAGAGCCAAGGTTCGGGAAATATGTGAGGTAAAACTGAAGCTATATAATCTCAGTTCCCACAATTTTGTGCATATTATATCTTACTTTTACTTATTTTGAATGCAATAAAACTGATATGGGGAAACACTCAAAATAACTTGTGGCTACCGACAGATGGCACTATAACCATGACATCATTTATGCAATGGAACGTTGTGGCAGTTTCTTGCTGCTGTTTTACCTCATAATAAAGTAAAAGGACCTGTATTACTAAAATTGTACAAGTTATTTAATACTATATCTAAATTTTATGTCCATTTTATTGGCTTAAAGCTTAAACCTTCTACATTTAGAAATAATATGTTATTATACAAGATGTAATGAAGGGATGTCATTTAAGTATAATGGTAGTTTTTTTATTATTATTTAAAAGTAATAATAAAATGAAACTTGGCTGCAAGTATAGTGGGGTGAAGATTACTAGAGGTCATAAATATACTTAAAGAAGTTAAGCAGTAAATAGTGTTTTAAAAGTCCCATCCATCCATCGATTACAGTCTAAAAGTTCATTGCTGAACATAGTTCTGCCCAATAGATTTTCTCATAGGAGGATTTTGCCATGCTGTTTTAATACAGGTTAGCAACTGCAGTTTTATATAATTTTGAGCTGTTATCAGGAAGATGCTGTTGCCCATCTTCTGTTTCAGTTTCCCTCTGTTGCCTCTTATGACACCCAAAGGACGACACAAGCCAGTGGATATTCTTACAGCGCCACTATACAGTTCAATATTGTTTATCTCTCTGGAGGTCTCTGTTCGTCAGTGGACTCATGTGTCAGCCAGTTCTTTGTTAACATCTCGCTTTTGAAAGCAATGGCACATTTTGATGTTTATTGATTACTTTTACATGAATTTGATGCAAAAACCTTTGGCTGATAGATAGACTTCTATGCGAAATATTGGATCCTGCAGGAATGTGAAAAATATTATTTAATTTTTCTGAGTCTGTTGCATAAATGACCATCACGAACATGGATAGCATTACACTTAACATATAATTAATATTTAACACAATTAATATCATAAACTACACAATAAAACTAAAACTTAAAACATCTACAGGTGATATCGTCGGGCATCCAACCTCTCCAAAACTTAATAGTATTGATATACGTTGGAGAGGAAAAGAAGAAGGAATGGGCCCAGCATTGGATAATGCGCGGTTTTCGTGCAGTGGAAAAACTTCTTTCTGCATCTGCTGGGAAGTATTGTGTTGGAGATGAAATCACATTAGCCGATTGCTGCTTAGTACCGCAAGTGTTTAATGCAAGAAGGTAATAAATATATAATAAGTAATTGAATCTTTAATTCTATCCTCCATGGTGGCACTACACCGGAGGCGTAGACCAGAAGTGCGGTGGTCTGCGGTGGAAAGACGACAACGCTCTCTTGAAGAACTACAGACAGATTTCTCTTCTGAGCCACTTCTACGTGCTGTTTTCGAAAGTCATTACGAATCGGCTCGGATGAAGACTCGACGACTTCCAGCCTCCCGAACAAGCCAGTTTCCGAAAAGGCTTTAACCCCATAGATCACATACATACCCTTCGGCAAATTATACAGAAATCTGAGGAGTACAATTTGCCACTATGTCTATCGTATGTGGACTATGAGAAAGCCTTTGGTTCTGTCGAAATTTAGGCGGTGCTGCAGTCCCTTCAGCGGTTTCAAGTTGACGGTCGGTATATCGAAGTGCTGAAGTGTTTGTACAATGGGTTACAATGGCTATCAGCTGTAGGACGTATTAATTTTTTATTTAATTCAAATTGTTTAAAATAAAAAATTTCGGTTAATCTGTTCATTCTGCCTACAATATACCTACATTCTCAGACCAATAAGCAATGATAGACGAAGCACTGCATTCAAATGACGCCGAAACTATGCTCAACTTCTCGTTATGCACCCAGGCACAAATATTTTTTCTTTATTTTTTTAAAGATCCATAAATGTCCATTTTACTTACTGCGGTACTGCAATCCCTTCAGCGGTGCCAAGTTGACTGTCGGTACATCGAAGTGCTGAAGTGTTTGTACAGTAGGGCTACGATAGCTATCCGAGTACAGAACCAGAGTACGAAACCTATCCAACTGCAGAGAGGTGTAAGACAGGGTGACGTTATATAACCGAAACTCATAGAGACCCATAATCTACACGGAAGTAATTATGAGTACTTAGAAGAAATTCGCTCTGAAGTAAATTGCAAACTGACTTATTATATCTTTTCTTTTAAGAAACGTTACCTCCATATTAGGACATCCTCCTGTGTCGTGGTGACAGTTTACATACACAAATTGCACAAGGACAACCATCCAGATGGGGAGCAATTATTTGTAGGCCATGTACATACTTGTTTAGTTGCGGTATTCAAACCTGCAGCCCTCAACACCGATACTCATTGCTAACTGCACCATAGAGCCGTTAAGCCCGATACAGGATTCCGGCTACTAGGTTGTGTCTGTACAAATATTCAGTATAAAGAGGCAAATAACTGAAGATGACATGCCTAAGTTACTCATGGCGACAAGCTCGACAGATGTTGATGGTGTCATCTTTTAGTATGTATCCCCGATAATTATTGGTCTTGATAACTTGATTCTATATCTCACAGACAAAACCTTCGGTTTCCCGATGAGGTCACCGAAATAAAGCTAGTGGAGAAGGGCAAATTGTCTACAAAAGGCAAGCCTTGTAGTACCTTCCGTGAAGTTCTTTCTCCTTCAATAGGGGATTAACGCACTAGGTTCTACTGGAACTGGGCCATCCTTTACTGTTCTTCTTCTATAGACCTCTTCCGAATAAGCCTGATATTGTGCTGATAGATCTACAGTCAAGGATATTTGGTCGAGAATAACATTACATAAGACGAGAACCTTGTCGAAGCCAAAACAGATGTGAAGACAAAATATCTTGGACAGAAAGATAAAATATCTTGGATATCTTGGACTTGGCTCATGAGATCTTTCATTCAAAATCTTTCCTATGTTTATATTTCTGTGACAGTCCACTTCGTGGTATTATGCAGAAAGCGGTGGTCCCTTCCTTCTAATCCTCAGCCGTTTGGTCTCCCTGCCAAGGGCATCCAGCTGATTGTGTTATATTTATTTATTTTACTACAGGTTAATAATATAAGGCATATGTATTTTAGCTTATGTACTTTCATAATGTTTCATCTATTTGCATATGCATGCATCTCAATCAGACAAGAATACTCATGAAATAATAAATATTTACTTTCTCGTCAGCACCACAGATGTTTCTCTAACAATTTCATTATTTAATATTGCTTTCAAAGTAAAACATGGATCCTCATTATATTGCAGATTCCACGTAGATCTTCGTCCGTTCCCCATAATTCTCCGCATCGATCGAGAACTTGAAAATCATCCAGCGTTCCGTGCAGCTCATCCTTCTTCTCAACCTGACTGCCCGCCAGAAGTCGCTAAGTGAACTTACAGAATGATTATAGATTTATATAACATGGTTAAAACAGCTGTCTTAAAAGCCAACAATAAAAGGAAATCGAAACTTCCAGCCAAATATCTATGGTAACAAGGCTCTAAATGAGAAACTGCAAAAACTCTATTGTTAAAATAACATTTTTTATGTTGTTTTTTTTGTGATTATTCTAAATGCTTGCCAGATTAAGAAACAAAATACTCGGGCATAATTCCAGGGATACTTTGGTTAAAAAATATTAAATAAGTAGGGTTATGTGTCCCTTGCATTTACGAAAAGGTTCTGGAAAAATATTTTAGGAAATTACACTTGGATACCTTGTTTAATTAAATAGTAAGCTTTATTAATAATCATAATACATTATTGTTTATAAATTGCATATAAACTAACCTAAAAAGGAATCCTTGATTTGACAGTATATAGTAGCAACAGATAGCCTTTAGTGTTTGTAACACAATTCACTGACATTAAACCAATTTTGTTGCTTATTTTATCGAAAATAATTTTGAAGTATGTCCCATATAAGTTTTACACAGATCTGATGATAGTTTGAAGTTTATAGTATGTATTGTATTCAAAGTATCCTTGTACAAAGTTTTCTGTTATTTTTATAATGTACTTATTTTGTCATCTCACCAATAATATGCATATTTTTTCCAGTTGAATTTATTATATTATGGAGAATGTATTCATGTTCTCAAATATATTTTACACACATTTATATCAACTGGAGCATATTTTTGAGAATATTTTTGTGTCTGTCTTTTATCCACAATGTAAATCAATTTTTAATTGAATTATTTACAAAGTAACGTTTTGTGACTTTTTATTTAATAACTGGTCTAGTCTTTAAGTACTAGTGATAAGATAGGTGATTTATACAAGGTTTTCGGGTTAAAGTAAGAGTAATGTAGTGTGTTATTATTATTATTTTGTATATGATTTAAAATATTTACTTGTGCCATTCCATTAGTTGTACGAACATTTATACAGTAGCGTTAATTTTTATTATGTTAAACATAAATCTATTATTATACACTTTTGTATTTTCTGTTTTAAAAATACAAACGTCTTGACTTTAACATTGTTTTATTTTTAGGGAGACTTGATATATACAAAGCCCAATGGGTTTTGGGACATTGACGGTGTCTTTGAATACACCTCCAACAATAAAAAATGGCGCGATTTTATATTAGTCAAGTTTTTTTTTTTATAGAATAAGGGAAACAAACAAGCACACAGTCCACCCGATGGCAAGTGGATGCTGTGGCCCATAGATATCCACATCTATCCTCGATTAAGTATTAAAATGCATATGCGCGTCACCCCTGAGGACTAAGATGAAATGCTTCGTTTTCACTGAAAATCGTCTCTGGTTCTCTACACTCGCCTAAGAAACACAGCAGCATTAAGTTGCTATTTTGCGCTGGTATTCTGTAAGAGTGTTTTTCCACCCCGGCGAGCCTACCTATTTGTGCTACAACCATATCGCGTAGGTTTCTCCTAAGTATGTTTTGTTTATCTCTACTATTATAAATGCGGTCGTTAACAGAAAAGTGGGTTTGCAAAATGATGTTGTGACCAGGATTACGAAAGGTATGCTTAGGTGGTTTGATCATGAAGAAAGAATAAACGAGGAAAGAGACAAAGCACAGACAAGACAGAAGTGATCGGCAGAGTCGGGAAGGGACGCCCTGAACGAAAGTTTATCGACCAAATCGGCGATATATTGAAGATGGGCCAGATTAAGAGTACCTAAACCCATGAGCATGTATGGGTAGGTATATGGATGTAAAATCGATGATTATGGGTGCGAGAGAGGTGTGTCAGGATCGTGACAAATGGAAGTCAGTAGTCTCTGCATACCCCTCTGGGTAACAGGCGTGAGTGTTTATGTTTTTTTTTATAAATGCGAATGGTGGACGAACAGCACCTTCGAACGATGCCACTTAAAACATGCAATATCAGTAAGTTGATCGGGAAGTGCAAGCTTATTTTTATAAGCACTACGTGTTCAGTGATGTGTGTTTTGCCGCGGAGAAGTGAGGCAAGCGATGTAGCGTGCATGCAAAAGTTCTCTGTTTGTTCTCTGTGGCGCATGTATGTTTGGGCAAAAAATATCGAAATATCGATATATTTTATTAAAAATATCGATATATATCGTCGATATTTTAAATCGTGATATATCGACATTTATTTTAGAGTATCGAATTCGTATCAATTTCAATATATTTTAAAATGTATCGTTTTTATTCGTCGTCCAACTGTCAGTAACTAAAATTTTGGACCTTATCTTTACATCATGCGAATGATGACGATATATCGATATATTTTTCCCCTTGCCCATGCATAGGCCCATGCGTAGGAAAGGGTATGGAGTGTAGAGTAGGAGGACCACCTCTGTATATGAAAAGTGTCCCTAAAAACGCGTCCAATAAGGGTGGCGCTGCAGTAGCATAGGATAAATTAAAAAAAGCGCCAAAATTAATTCGAATAAGATGGAGAAATAAACAAGGGCCGACCAATCCGCTTGGTTTTGTACTACGTAAATAGTTGAGGTTTTGTATACTGGCATTTTACTAACTACTCTAATCATGGAATTTTTTAAATATTTGAATTCAGCTGACTTCACTCCATTCACAACAGCTATCTTCATATCGTAGTTTTTCAGACGCCAGCGCTATGGTGGTAGGTTTTGGAACCTCTATTTTCAATAAATAGTAGGACACTTTTTCAACTTTCGCCCCTTATAAGATGGTCCTCCTACTCTACACTCCATACTTGTGTGGGACCTACATATGTTTCGTTTCATTCATTATACTTATGGAGTGTAGAGTAGAAGGAGGACCATCTCTATATATGAAAAGTGTCCCTAAAAACGTGTCCAATAAGGGTGGTGCTGCAGTAGCATAGGATAAATTACAAAAAAAAGCGCCAAAAGTAATTAGAATAAGATGGAAAAATAAACAAGGACCGACCAATCCGCTTGGTTTTGTACTACGTAAGTAGTTGAGATTTTGTATACTGGCATTTTACTAACTACTCTAGTTATGAAATTTTTTAAATATTTGAATTCAGCTGACTTCACTCCATTCACAACAGCTATCTTCATATCGTAGTTTTTCAGACACCAGCGCTATGGTGATAGGTATTGGAACCTCTATTTTCAGTAAATAGTAGGACACTTTTTCAACTTTCGCCCCTTATAAGATGGTTCTCCTTGTACTCTACACTCTATAATTACACTACTGAAAAAACGTTTCGTTTCAGCTTTTGTGTGTGTATATTTTGTGATACGCCAATGAGAGGCCTGCTGTATGCCGCATTTTCTGAAGTCATGGATTACCATATAATACGGAAATTGCCGTATCAATGGTAAACCTGCCATTTACCATCAAGTGGATTTTGTGCTCGTTTATCCAATAAAAAATGCTTCACTGCCATGAGATCTGTCAAATATTTTACCGCATTCCTAATTGGCGCCGCCCTGGTGGCACACAAAGTTGTAGAAGCCCTCATTACAAATCTGAACCTCAGATGCTCAGAACTGCTCAGAATATTCTACTGATATTGTTCTGAGTGCTAAAATTATGAACAGTCTGCCCACAGAATAATAATAATGCTCTAGTCAGCCACAGGGATATCTACGGCGGCATCTACGTGTACGTGTTGCTCTGCAACTCGTAGAGCCGCATCTCCTGTCGTAGTATTTTCATTCGACGAAGGAATAGCCTCACATCGTAGGCGTTCGAGTTCGGCGTCATCAAATATTTTTGAGCGTATGATGTACCGAACTTGGTCTGTCAGGTTTTGCTCGGTTACGGTAGTAGACGGCTCCAGCTCACCAAATAGTCGATGCATCCTCGCCCGGTACGCAAAACCTCCAAATTCTTCCCCTTTCACCCTAAAATGCGCCCGTGATAGGTTTATATTCATTGCCTTCGTCCAACGCATGCGGCGTACTCCCCCAGCGGCGGGTGCCTCTTGCCGAGTCCGAGGGGACCCTGCCGACACCAAGCCATCTGGTGGGGATGATGAATGCGAGGGGCTGCTAGGTGGTCGTGCAGCACCTCGCGCTCGGTTGGCAGCCCACATGCTTTCGCGTCCAGCGCCAGCTCCAGACGCGCCCCAGCGACCCCAAGGCAGCAGCCCTATACGCGGTCTATTTTTTCCATCAACTATAAATTGGGCGTCAATTAATGGGAGACGCCCAGGCCCGGCACCGTTTCATGATTTAGCCGTAAGCACAAACAGGCCCAAATTAGCACCCTCAATTCTGCCGAGGCACGGCGCTCACACCTCTTGGCAAGGCGCTGAGTGACTGCGCCGACGTAGCAGTTTTGTCACTTAACTGTTACGTCAGCGGGCAATAGGGTCGTCACTTCCCTACGCCTTCTCCTTGTGGTTGACTTAGGCGACGATGGAATAGTCGCCCAGGAACAAGAGCAAATGAGGAGAATATTGGAAGAGGCGATTAGGGAAACGCGCAGTATGCCTCTCGAGAATCGACCACGAGTTCTCCGTATACCCCTAAGCATGCGGAATCAGGCTGTCGTGAGGGCTCTCAACCCAATGCTGGTGACCTATTTGGAAGCCAGCCGGGACCTTTGCGAGACGGACTCAATTCTTTTTGGCGCCGCACTGGCAGTTTGCCATATTATTGGCGCCAAACTTCCCACGGCTGGACGTGCTACTAGACACAGTAGCGCCATCCCAGCCTGGAGAAGAAGGATTGAGGACCGTATTGCAAAGGCAAGGGCCCTCATCGTCAGACTGATAAGCTTCAGGTCGGGCAATAATAGACCGAGAATTGTGCGTACCGTCAGCATGGTGTTTGCTGGGACAAATATCAGTTTGCCAGATATAACGCAAAAACTGACGGCGCGCATAGACGACCTGAAGCAGAGAATCGCTGCTTGGGGGAAGCGGATTCAGCGATATACCGAGAGATGGACACGGTTCAACCAAAATCGTCTCTTCCAGAGTGATCAGAAGAGGCTCTATGAATCATTGGAGCGACCAATGGTACGTGGAACGGGCCCAGCACCGAATCAGGCCGACACTATCGCATTCTGGCGCGCCCTGTGGTTAGAGCCCGTAAACCACAGCGGGGGCACTTGGACGGAAGTTGTGGCAAGTCAGTGTGCGAATGTTACGCCCATGGACCCCGTCGTCATAACGCCGGATGACGTAGCTGAGGCGGTCCGTAGGGCTCCGAACTGGAAAAGTCTGGGACTTGACGGACTGCATCACTACTGACTGAAGGGGTTCGTGGTCTGTCACGCTGTGCTCGCCCGACAGTTTCAAGAGGCTCTCAACCAAAAGTCGCTCCCGAGCCTCTTCAATACTGGGATCACTCATTTGATTCCTAAAGACCGGGATTCCACAGACCCGAGCAAATACCGCCCCATAACGTGTCTATCTACCATATACAAGACACTAACATCCATTTTGAGCGCGAGAATCACTCGTCACCTGAACTCAAATAAGGTGATGTCGCGGGCTCAGCATGTATGTCGGGGCGGTGGTCGTGGAACCAAGGAACTACTCCTCATTGACGCGGTCATTGGCAAGGTGGTTAAACGCAACCGTCTGAACCTCTCCGCCGCCTGGATAGACTACAAAAAGGCATTCGACTCGGTGCCTCATACATGGCTTAAGAGGGTCCTCGAGCTATATAAGGTTAACTGTACAATACGAGACTTCCTCGGGCAGTGTATGGGGCAATGGAGTACGATCCTTTATCATCTAGGCGAGCGGATGACGGCTGCGGAGAACTACATAAGGATAAGAAGGGGTATCTTCCAGGGTGATTGTTTGAGTCCAATCTGGTTCTGCCTCTCTCTGAACCCTCTCAGTACCTTACTGGAGGGTTCCGAAAGCGGATTTCAGCTTCGGAAAGGAGGCACAAAAGTGACCCACCTTTTCTATTTGGATGATCTCAAATTATTCGCCTCCAGTCGCTCTCATCTTATGGAATTGTTTAACATCACTTGTGATTTTAGCAATTCTATTAGAATGGAGCTAGGGACGGATAAGTGTGCGGTCCACCATGTCGAAAGGGGAAGGGTTGCTAAATCTGAGGGCATAGACTTGTCTATGCCCATCAACATAAAGACCCTTTCCTAGACTGAAACATACCGATACCTGGGTATGTCACAGAACATAGGTATCGATGAGGTGAACATGAGGCAGTCAGTTTGCGATGTGTTTTATGCACGCTTGACAAAAGTGCTTAACAGTCTTTTGTCGGGCGTTAATAAGACACACGCATATAACGGTTGGATCATGCCTGTTCTCATGCATACATTTGGCATACTCAGGTGGACTCAGACCGAACTAAATGCTCTGGATAGAAAAGTCCGCACTATTATGACATCCCACAGGATGCATCATCCGAGATCGTCAGTATTGAGGCTGTACTTGCCGCGGAAGCATGGTGGGCGCGGCTTTTTAATCGCGTTTACCATGCATAATCGTGAAGTGTACAGCCTCCGGAATTACTTTCTAACGAGAACGGATGATCCATTCTATAGGGACGTTATTTCTTGTGATAAAGGTCTTACCCTTCTATCCTTAGCCAACGAGCAATGACAAGACCCGGGAGTACAGAGCATTTCCGACCGTGAGACCGTATGGAAGGAGAAGGAGCTCCACGGGAGGTTCTACAAGGCTCTACATGAGCCTTTCGTAGACACAGCTGCCTCCCTCCACTGGCTAAGTTTTGGTGACCTCTTCGGGGAAACCGATGGTTTTGTCTGTGCAATACAGGATCAGGTTATTAAGACCAACAACTATTGGAGATACATCCTAAGGGATTGCACCGTCGATATTTGTCGAGCTTGTCACCATCCCGGTGAATCACTTAGGCATGTCATCTTCGGTTGTTCGGCGCTTTCTAACTCTGAGTACTTGCATAGGCACAACCTAGTAGCCACGATGCTACACCAGAAGCTCACTCTGAAATACGGTCTCGTGGATCGGAAACTGCCTTATTATAAGTACATGCCAGAAGCCGTGCTCGAAATGACCGCACCAGGCTCTACTGAGACCGGGCCATCATCACAGACAGGACTATTCTTGCGAATAAGCCTGATATTGTGCTGATGGACAGGGCATAGTCAAGGATATTTTTGGTCGACATTACCATTCCTTATGACGAGAACCTCGTGAAAGCCGAAACAGATAAGCGAACAAAATATCTGGACCTGGCTCACGAGGTGACCGACATGTGGGGTGGACTGCCGGCCGAAATTATACCTGTAGTCGTTCCTGCGAACGGGTTAATCCCAGTCAGCTTCTCGGGTCATCTGAGGCGGCTGGGACTCCGTGACGGACCACTCCAAGCTCAAATGCAGAAGGCGGTGCTCCTCGATACCGCCCGCACCGTCCGCTGGTTTCTTTCCGTTTCCCTCTAACCATCGGCCATTTGGTCTCCCCTGCCGAGAGCTTCCATCTGGTTGGGTATTTATTTATTTATGTATTTTTTATGTATTTATTTTATTTTGTTAATGTTTATGTATGTTTATCATTTTCATTTTCAATTATATATTTATACAGCCCAACCAGATGAGTAAACTCTATAGATGCCCCAGAATAATAATAATGCTCTCTACCCAGAGCAAGAGAACTGCGCTAGTACTTCTTATTAGTTTGTGGAGGAAATTCAAGTTAGTCTAACTTTTTAGGATATGATCTATGTTTTACCTAACCCTTATCCTCTGAACCTCACAGAACAATACTTATCTAAAGCTAGATATGTTGGTCCCTTCATTGTTCTTTATGAAACTTATCCGTTTTTTACCCACGTAAAAGAACACATAGCTGACGTGAAGCACCAACGTTCCGGGAAGTCTGCAGTTTGTGATCATATACTAGACGGCCCCCGCCATTACATTGGATTTGATAAACCACAAATTGTCGCGAAAGAACATCGATTTCTGCCAAGGATGATACGTGAGGCTATTGAAATTAAAAAACATCCTAATTTCAATAGAGAGGGAGGCTGGGTACTACCACCTGCTTGGGATCCTATATTTCATAAAATTAAAACTAAACCCAAGCATACCACTGCAAGACTTCAAGACACAGTAAGTTCATTCTGCGTAGATCGGACCAAAATTAATAATTAAAAAGGTGAAGGTATTCCGGGTACGGACCCGGCAACCATGGTTGCTGGAAAGAAACCGAAACGTCGGGAATTTAAAATAAGTTAATTAAACGCGATAAAATCCTTAAAAAAGTAGTTTTATTCAATGTGTAGTGTTCGCGTAAATATAAGAAATCATTTTACTTTCAAATACCAACAAAACGAAATACCTTATTGCCTTGTTGAACGATAACATACCTGTATCATAATTGACTCTCCCCTACAATGGAAACTTCATATTGAATCTTGGTCAAAGAAAGTTAAATATAATGATATACGAAATAATAATATTAACTGGATTAATTGTAAAGGAACTAAAATAGATCATCCTTTCGACATTGCCAGTAAATTTAATGAGTATTTTATTAATGCAGCTCTTCTTGACTCTTCTTCTTTAAATAATAAAACTAAAATGAATATGTATGAAAATGTTCAATCATCGATCTTTTTAAAACCTGAAATCAAACTTATTATAAACTCTCTTAATAATACTAAATCTGTTGGTTATGATTCTATTACTACACACGTACTGAAATCATGTGTAAAGGAACTTGCTCTAATTCTGACATATTTAATAAACCTTTCTTTCATACATGGAAGATTTCCAGATAAATTAAAAAAATCTATAGTCAAACCCTTATTTAAAAAAGATGACCGTCATGAGATTCATAACTACAGGCCGATCACGTTAGTACCAATTCTATCCAAAGTATTTGAAAAAGCCATGCATAGTCGAATTACTAGTTTTGTAGCCAAATATAATATACTCAGAAACGAATAAAATGGCTTTCAAAAGCAAAAATCTACTACACTTGCTACCTTTTCACTGATACGTCGAATGACTGAATATATTAATAATAGAGTGCCAATAGTAGCCATCTTTATTGATATGTCTAAAGCCTTTGACTGTGTAGAACATAGCACGTTGTTGTACAAACGTGAAAAACTAGGAATCAGAGGATCGGCTTTGGAATGGATCGAAAGCTATTTGACAAATCGGCAACAATGTGTTGAAGTACCACATATTAATAATAATCTAGAGTTAACATATTACAGATCTCCTTATCTACAAAATGACTATGGGGTACCTCAAGGGAGTGTTTTGGGGCCTTTATTGTTCATTCTATATATAAATGACTTACCGAGTATAACAAAGCATCAGTCCATACTATTTGCTGATGACATATCAATTGTTATACCTCACACTAATAATTCACAGATATATGAACAAGAGATAAATTCCACTATAAAATCAGTTATATCATGGCTAGAAGATAATAATTTACAAGTCAACACTAACAAAATTAAATATATTCAATTTGGAAATTATAAAACAAAACCACAAAAATTAGACTTAACATATAAGGGTGAAAGATTGGTAGAGGTAGAAGATACACAATTCCTAAGTGTTGCTATTGACCAGCATGTCAACTGGAAATTATACATTAATAAGGTATGCAAAAAAATTAATCAATTTGTTTATGCACTATGTAGACTTCAAAATGTAGCAAGTCCGCAAGCAGCGCGTGTTGCTTACTACGGGTACGTTGAATCCGTCTTAAGATATGGATTAATCTTGTGGGGCAACTCAACAGACGCAAACAGAGCCTTTCTAAGCCAGAAGAAATGTATTCGTGCACTGTGTAACGTAGGCCCTCTACAGAGCTGTAGACCCCTGTTTAAGGAAAAAAATATTCTCACTTTAACTGGGTTATATATATATTAGAAATCTGCGTTTTTGTAAAAAAAATAATACAAATCAATTTGTTACCGTGCAGGAAAATAATAAATTTGCAAAAAGAGATCCGACACGTCTACTGATGCCACCTTGTAGAACTGCATTATTCCACAGGAATTGTCTCGTAATGTGTATCAAGATATATAATAAAGTTCCTAAAAATATTCGTGAACAGCCATTAACGCGAATGACAAAAAGTTTAAAGCAGTGGCTAATAAATACTGCCTTTTATAACATCAAAGAATTCTTTAACTATAAATTTTGATTTTGCTTTTGATTTCTTTTTTGTTGATTTTGTTTAGCTAAGTAAGTTACTATAGATCCAGGATTTTGCGTGATACTTCTCAATTGAATTAAATGTTATTTTTCGAATTTTGTTATGTTCTTCTAAAAAGAAATGTAATCATTACAAAGTGGTAGTTACATACTTGAATATTATGTGTATATTTCTAATGTTAGTTCATTTGTTCTGAACACATTTATATTTTTTTTTTAATTTTTTTTCGCATGCCACGAATGGCAAAATATGTGGAAACAAATATTGACTCTGCATCCATTCGTCTGTACCCATGTTTTTAGCGAAATAAATGATTTGATTTGATTTTGATTTTAGTTCCGCTGTCTATGCTGTAAAAATTATAAGGCTGATAACAGATGTAGACATAGTAAGAATAAGATTGGTTTATTTCAGCTATTTCCATAAATCTGTAGTAAAATTGTGTGTTCACGATTCACACAAGAACTACTGAACAGATTTCCAATAAATTTTGTATGTAGACAATAGACGACCGTATATAACATACTGGCAACTTTTTATCCGCTTACGGAAGAGTAAAAAAAATTTATGTTTTTCATTTTTTTTTTAGTTTATATTCATTATAACTGTTAATGGTTCTATTAGTTCTTAAAAGGATTTAGCTATACATATAATAAATCTATAGAAAAGTGTGTGTTTGTGTGTGTGTGTGTGTGTGAAAATAAATTCGTTGCGTCACCAACGAAAAAGGGCAGATAGGAACTTTGTTTTAGTATAATTTTAAGTAGTTTTCAATTTGATGCTATATAGCAACACTGCGCCGGCAAATGTCAAACGTATTGACTATCGAACGAAGACAAACGCCCCTGTTTATTCGTTGCTGATAATTTCAGAGCGCTGCGAATGCGTGTTGAGTATCGGTATATTTACTTTCGAGTTTGTTTTGTTCACGTAGAGTGGCATTATGAAAATGATTCTAGTGTTAT